GCTCACTGCTGTGGCGCACACCATTTTTCCTCGCCGGAAGTCCCCATATGATGTGTTGCGCACAAGACACATCATATGGGGACTTCCAACGAGGAAAAATGGCGGGTGCCACAGCAGCGAGCAGCTCCTGAAGCCAGCCAGAGCCAACTGCGCTACCAGGCTGGCTCCGGGCTGCTGAGGCTGCCGCTGCCACGTTTCCCAGGGACAGATTTGCAAATCCGGGGACTGTCCCAGGAACCAGGGACGTCTGGTAACCCTATGCTTGCCTGCATGCCCTGTGAGGTGCAAAGTGGCCATGTGTATCCCACCAGCCCTGGAATAACCTGAGACTTAAAAGTTATTATATCATTAAAGGTAAAGGGACCCCTGACCATTAGGTCCAGTCCTGGCCGACTCTGGGGTTGCGGCGCTCATCTCGCTTTATTGGCCGAGGGAGCCGGCGTACAGCTTCTGGGTCATGTGGCCAGCATGACTAAGCCGCTTCTGGTGAACCAGAGCAGTGCACGGAAACGCCATTTACCTTCCCGCCGGAGTGGTACCTATTTATCTACTTGCACTTTGACGTGCTTTCAAACTGCTAGGTTGGCAGGAGAAGGGACCGAGCAGCGGGAGCTCCTCCCATTGCGGGGATTCTTGTTAAATTTGAATACCACCTTTCACCTGGTTCACAACATAAAAACACAAACTGAGAACACAGAATGCATAATATAATATAATATAATATAATATAATATAATATAATATAATATAATATAATAAAATAAAATAATAATAATAATAATAATAATAATAATAATAATAATAATAATAAACAACCCTCCTCCTCCCATGAATAGGGGTGGGGTAGGGTTGCCCTATTTCAAACAGATCCGGACAGAAAAGTTGGTGAGATTTTTTTAGTTTTACCCAAAGTTGTTAAGCTTTTTGGGCAAAAAAACCCCCCTGTTTTAGAGCTATTTAATGGGGAAACGGCACTGCCGACATAGATGCAGTATTCCGTCTATGTATGGACAGACAGCAGCCCTAGGGTGTTGGATAGTCTGGAACCCAGAACTTGCCCACTCACCTCTTTCTAGATGCGGAATTTGAGAGCATCACAGCATGGAACTCCAGTCAGCAGACAGAAGTAGATAGGCTTGCAACAGCAACTGGTGAGCATTGCAAGAGGGAACTCCAGAATGAGCCAGCAAAGGCTTCTGTGGCTCTGCAACTTCAAGCCAATAGGAATTTCTAAGATAGATCTAGGGCAGCTCTTGCTTCCCCTCCTAGGTGGATTTCACTTCAGCAAAAGTGATTCAGCCGGCAAGGTTTAGCAATCCCGTAACTGAAGCAATCAGCGGGAGACCAGCTTTTCAAAGCCCTCTCCCCTTCACAAAGAGAAAGCTTCCCCTCTCCCTGACCAGATCTGTGAGCCCTTCTCTCCAGAGTCACTTTGGTTCAAGATGAACCAGCTTCAGCGCTCTTACTGAGGATAGGTAGCTGACAGGGAGGCCAGGCACCCGTCTGTTCAATAACTTAGTCCAACAGTTACAATAAAACATGAAATGCAATTCTATCCAACATGCAAATGAGTGTGACATGCTGGATTAATGTTTTCTCTGCCCTTTCTGCAATTTTACTATCTCTGCAATGTTACATGCAGACAACAGGAAGTAAATTAGGCAGCCCCTGTTAGTTTTCTCTCTCTGGAAAACCCTTTCCTACTGAATGTTGATGGGAAAGAGTCTATACCCCTTCCAAAAGGGGGCTCTAAAACAAGTTGCCTTCAATCTGGAAAGATTCCCTTAGCTCGTATTTTCATAAAAGGCAACAGTCTTCAATGATAAGGGTTGCCCAATTTCATCTCACTTCAGGGTATTACCAGGCAAACAGAAACAGTACATGACACTCAAGGGAGCATTCCTACCTTATGAGATTGCTTTTCTTGAGAACTACTGTCCCCTCAAACATCGTTCAAATGACCCCAATTAATTTCAGTGGTGAAGCCTTGCTAATGGTCTCGTCAAAGGTCAACCACATTTTGTTTTATGGCTGTTGATCCAGCCTTGGCGAGACAGCAGATACACAGAGAACTAAACATCCAGAGTTTTAATGGCTCATTGTTTGCATCTTGTTGAAACCAAGCCCAGATTTGAACTGAGTCGACACAAAGATCTTTCCAAAGTCTTACGCTTAGCTGCCAGATGGACATTCTTGGCTTCCAAAACCTTTTGTCTGAATAAAAGGACATTGACCTCTTGAATACTCCAGCCCCCTTCTACAAGGCTGGACTTCGCAAACTACCGGTACTTCTGTAGGTATACTTGTACCTACAAATGTAGGTATGAAAATGCATTCATTTTGCTTGATCTTAGCTGTGCCACAGACTTAAGGTGGCTTAATCAATTGACTCTCTTCAGAGACCTGCTGTTTCATGAGGGAGGCTGGCAAGGGTTGTTTCACACCATACATTTAAAGCACTTTTTTTGCCCCCAAGAATCCTGGGGACCGTAGTTTAAGGGTGCTGTGAATTCTAGTTCTGTGAGGAGAAACTACAGTTTCCAGGATTCTTTGGAGGGGTAGAATGTGTTCAATGCTTCAAATGTGTTCTACATGAACAGTGTGTGTTGTTGTTGTTGTTTAGTCGTTTAGTTGTGTCCAACTCTTCGTGACCCCCTGGACCAGAGCACGCCAGGCACTCCTGTCTTCCACTGCCTCCCGCAGTTTGGTCAAACTCATGCTGGTAGCTTCGAGAACACTGTGCAACCACCTCGTCCTCTGTCGTCCCCTTCTCCTTGTGCGCTCCATCTTTCCCAACATCAGGGTCTTTTCCAGGGAGTCTTCTCTTCTCATGAGGTGGCCAAAGTACTGGAGCCTCAGCTTCAGGATCTGTCCTTCCAGTGAGCACTCAGGGCTGATTTCCTTCAGAATGGAGAGGTTTGATCTTCTTGCAGTCCATGAGACTCTCAAGAGTCTCCTCCAACACCATAATTCAAAAGCATCAATTCTTCAGCGATCAGCCTTCTTTATGGTCCAATACTTTGGCCACCTCATGAGAAGAGAAGACTTCCTGGAACACAGCCTTAAAGTACACAGCCTTAAACTGCATCTTCATTCTGCAACACACGAAGAGGAGTACTGACTCCAACTCAGATCAGAATATATATTTTTTTTAAAAAAGAAAACACTTATTCCACCACCTTTTTCCTTATCTATCTGTAAAAGGGAACGGAAACTGAGATATATATAGATCTGCAGTAGCTACAAGCTAGGATGACCAGGTGAAAAACAGTGCAGGATGCTGCACCTTAAATACTTCTGTAGAAAATGACATTTCAATAGGAGATGCTTGCATTATAAGCTATTCCTACCCTGACTTTGCATTCTATATGGTGCTTTCCAGTAGCCTTTGAATAATTAAGTCCTTGTTGAACTCACTGAGACTTAGACTTCCAAGAAGAGGAGGTTTGTGCTTTAAAATGTTCCATAAATTTGTTTATTATGAATAATACTATAGTAAGAAATCAAGTCCTAGCATGGCCCGAAGAATATGGGCTGAAAAGCTATTGGAACATATATATATATATATATATATATATATATATATATATATATATAGTACAGAGAGAATAGTAATTAAGGCTGACTCTACCCATATACAGTGGTACCTCAGGTTACATACGCTTCAGGTTACAGACTCCGTTAACCTTGGGTTAAGAACTTTGCTTCAGGATGAGAACAGAAATTGTGCTCCGGCAGCGCGGCAGCAGCAGGAGGCCCCATTAGCTAAAGTGGTGCTTCAGGTTAAGAACAGTTTCAGGTTAAGAACAGACCTCCGAAACGAATTAAGTACTTAACGCGAGGTACCACTGTATATTTTTTTAATGTTTTAAAATATATGTGGAATTTGCCATTAGCTCACTGGCACCATCTAGTGTCACATTTGTATAATGCACTTAAAACGTTATATTTGCAGCTGTATAGCTGAGTCCTAAGATGCTAAAGGTGGCTCTGTTAGGGTTCAGATGAACTCTTGTATGGAGCATTTGTACAGGAATGTGTCCTATTCTACACAGGCCAATTTCCACAGTGCTACACTTGGAGCTTGATGGTCTTACTGGAGTGGAGAGGGCTATTTAACATGTGTTATTTCACTTACTTCAACACGGAGGAAGCCAACCCTGCTGCATTCTGCTGAATTGGGTCTTGCCCCAAAGTCCTACCCTGACAGCTGGTCATCATCACAGAGAAGCAGATTGCTGATCTTCTCCCCATGCCCTGCAAAGCAGGCAAGGGAAGGTGGGTGGATGCAAAGACATGGTTAGACAAAGTAATAAGCTACGGCAAGGAGAACCAAAACAGTCCTTCTGGCATAAGGTGTTAGATATTCTTTAAACCTCCACCCCTCCCAAACCTTGGACAGCTGTACCCAAAATGATGTGCATTCCAATTCCAGCTTCTAACAAAAGGGCTGGTATCCACCGAAACAAGAACACCAGTGGACCCTATATTGTGTTTTCATTTTCAGTGTGTACACCTCGTGTGCTTACCTCATTGCCCTCTTCCAGGGCACCACTTTGAAGTGCCTTCAGCTAGCACCAGGGATGGGCTTCTTGGCCCTTTGCACAGGGAAAAGTCCCCTAAAGGGACTTTAGCTCTCACTCAGTGGTACACATACACAAGTGAGAGCACTAGGACAATCGTGGGAATGGCATAAGCCGTAGCTTTTTCCCATCATAACTTGATTCAGCTGGATGGGTTGGGCCAAACATTTCTGATAACACACATGGGCTGCCAGACACAGAATTATTGCCAGAATGTCACGCCTGGCTACAGAGAGGCTGCATCCAAGAAAAGTCACACAGACTGTTTCCAAAACCGTGAAGTTCAGAGTCTAAAATTAGCTAACGGCATCACTGAAGCTTTCAACGCAGCTCTCAATCTGATGCCTATCTAACGTCCACACTTGTATATTCTCACACACGTGTGACAAATGTAATAAGAAAAGATTCCGCCACAAATTACATTTGAGTCAATTCTTTAATTAAATACCTCATCAAATTCAGTGTAATAACATTTGAATGGGGAAGCACGGCCAAGGTTCTCCTAAACGCATTTGCCAAGTGTTGCAAAGAGCCTGCCGCTGCTAAACTTTTAAAAAGGCGAGTCTTCAAAAGTGCAATGCAGCAACTGAAGGGAGATTAATTAAAATATATCGCATTGGCAAGAACCTGCGTGGCTCACTCTTTTTTTGTGGTTCGTAATAAACCTTGCTTGAAAAATAGATACCAATCCACAGAGGTAACAAGATTAGTCCCAACATCTGCCTATAGATCATTTAACACAAGGAACATGACTTAAGCCGTGTTTCATTGATATTAGTGTTCTTCACTTCTTTGTTATATGTAGCTTCATGGTTTTTGTGGCTAAATACATTAATAAATTATTGACTGGTGTTATATGTGCTTGAGCATTTACACATCACTTTCTGCTGGAGTCTACGTCCTGCTTTTATGAGCAGCACAAATATCACAGTAGACAGACAGAAGAAGCTTTGCTAAAATCAATGGAAGCTTGCACCAGCATAAAGGCTGCTTTAGGATTACTGCCTTGGGAGTAAGTCCAATAAAAAGTGAGACTACTTATTGGGCTATAAGCATTGCAGCTTTTTGTATCATAGCAATCACTTTAAAATGAAATCCTTACTGTTGTCCTGAGCCAATCCACACTACATGTTTTAAATGAAATCCCTATTATAAAAGATGTGCCACATATAAGTACAACATTTTCATCATCTTAGTGTCTTTTAAAATTTATCACAAATAAAGGAGAGGGACATTTTGAACTGGAATTATTGAATCCTGGCTTCCCCTCCCATACCCAGGAATCATTTCTGATTTCCAGATTTCCAGAGATATATTCAAGAGAGGATGGAATGGCAAAACACTGCAAATGTAAAATCAAGGTCTGTTTCAAATCCCAACCAAGGATCTAAAGAGTGGACTATGCAGATGTAACCCTTTGGGTAGATGTAATGTGCTAGCGAGGTGGAAATGAGATCATGCCCCCGCTTCCAACATATGTTCAATGTAACTTCTGATAAAGCTAAGCATGTACAAACTGTCTGTGTGTACCCTTTGTGCAAGCAGGAATATGCAAGTGCAGTTTGTATATGTGGAGACTCTTTTAGACAGTGTGCTGAATGTCACAGAGGGTGGATACAGCAAGTATGCTCCTGCTCTGCCCCGTAATATGACGTCACAGTAATATGACGTCTTCACAGTCCTATAATGTATCAGTGATCTCTGCTTTGTGTCATCTGACTCATGGGAAGAACAGTAATTTATGCAGTGAACTGTTAAGCAGCATATGAAAGAACCCTCGATGCAAGAAGTTGTTTGACAAAGAACAACTGAAGCTCACAGTTACACTGGCATTACTCTTTTAGGAAAGTCAGAAACTTTGCACAGATATTCAACTTAAAATATAGTTATTTGGTTCTACTGTCACATGCCCAGGTCTGTAGATGAGGTTGAGTCTCAAAAGCAAAAACCTGCTTTGTCAGACAGCTATAATAGTAGCACTTCTATATATATAAAAAGGGCAAATCCTTTAAGGATTTATTTATTGTACACCTTCAGAAAGTGAACGCTGGGGGCAGACAATGGGTGTTTAATAATCGTTTTCTACCCACCCACCTTAGCCACAGAGCACCAAGGCATTCCATGGATGATGCAAACAGGACATGAAATGTCGATGCAACTAAACACACTGGACATTTTTCCTGTGTGTGAAAGAGTGTCATGTTTGTAAGACAGCCCCTGTCCAGAAAAACAATAACCCATTCTGATGTTTTGCTAGCAGCAGCATTTATGCCCACAGATCAATTGCCAGAGTGGCTTGCACTGTCTTCGGGGATCATAGGGAAGTGACCAGATGTAGCTTCACATTTTGGCAGGCATATCATCTCTCCATAAGGGTTTGGAGGACTGAAAACAAGAGAGGTGGGCAAACAGTCTCCATATGTACACACACATCTGTTGATTAGAATGGCATTAAAAACAAATACAGCTCAAACATTGGGAGAGGGTACATCACTCTGGGCTCACCCACATCCTCATGCTTGTCCGATGGCTGCAAAGCACAGGTCCAAGTGGTTTTCCGTTTGCCCTGCTGCTTTCCCCAGAAAAAAACCCACTCTTTACCACTAAACTGAAGCAAATGTCAATCTGTGGAAAGCCCTACTGAGGTTTGTAAAAAAAAAAGCAGGTTTCCGTGGAGGAAGCAGCGGGGCAAGTGGAAGTGTGGGTGAGCCCTAGGCGAAGCAGTAGCAGTGGCAGAACAGCAGTAACACTGTATAGATGATGCTAGGTTTGCCCCACGGGGGTTACCAACAGCTCAAGCGAAATGTGACTTCTGAGAGCACCTAAATGCTGCAGAATGTTGGGAACTAGTAGATCGTCCTCCTCCTTGTTTCCACAGGTGTCTGTTGCCTGCTTTTCTAAGTCTCATCAGGAGAACTTTCTATTCGCTGCAAACAATGGGAAGAAAACACAGTAAGCACAAATCCAACAGGTTGATCAAATATCACATCAAAATAGGACACTCCTCTGGACCCAATAAATAGATTGCTAAAAATTAAAAACATGCAAAATCAATTTTGAAAAGTTATGCAATGAACATTGGCATTATGCACGTTGCGGAGGGGAGAGACTCCATCAGGCAAGGCCTCCTTCCACCTGCCTTGCCCCACCCTCCGGCCCTAGGAGTCCTCATAAGGGAGCTGTTCCTGGAGGAAGAACTGTGAGGGGAGAGACTCCATCAGGCAAGGCCTCCTTCCACCTGCCTTGCTCTACCCTCTGCTTCTCAATGTGTATTGTATTGTTTTATGTACTGTGGCTTGCCGTTGTTTTATTGATTATAGTTTAGATATTATTGTAACTGTTGAGTGGATTTCTGTTTAACTTTTATATGTTATTATTATTTTATACTATTCTAATTGTTTGTTGAATGTTACTATTTTGATGTAGGATGCCTATTTTAAAGTTATGTTTTATTATCACATTTTTGCATTGCATTAGATTGTTATAAGATGTACATTTTTTGTTTCTTCAGCTTGTAAACCGCCTTGAGTATAGAAAGGCGGTATACAAATTAAAAATGATGATGATGATTATTGGCTGGGGCTGAAGGGAGTTGGAATCTAACAACTTGTGGAGGATTGCAGGTCCCCCACCCCTGAATTAGAGCCTGGAATATGTTCTAAAGACCTTTGACAAAGAAGAGGTTTTTTCCAAGCATGTGTTCTTCCTTCCCTACTGCATAATTACTGCACATCTGCAATGGTGGGCAACATGAATTGGTCAGCACCAACTCCCCTCAAGGCATTTGGGGTAGCTTTTCTGCCCAGCCAACAAGTACCAATGGACGCGTAAATACAGATGTACTTGAAAGTAAGGTTATCTGAGCAAAATGGACTTCTCATTTCCACACAAAAGACATACCCAGGTGTACCTATAATAATGTATTTATGCGGTTTTTAACTATGTCTCTCTTTGTGTCTCCACAACAACAGTGTAATGTTTTCCCTGGAATTTAAAATGGATGCCTTCAGCACAATAATTTGTTGTTCCATCATAAGTAGTTTCTTCTTAGGTACTGATGAAAACACTTACATCCCCTTCTTAGAGTAGCTGAGTTATTGAAAAGCATCTTTGCTGCAATTCAGAATTTTCTCAAGTGGCTTGGGTTCATTTGACCACAATGGCAGCAGAAGGTGTCCCAAATGGACAGCTGTTCAAAGAGGTAGATAGTAGATAACATCTTCCAATATGGCACCCTTTAAATCTATAGTAATTTAACACTGAAAGTATGTTCTAGCTGTATATTGCTTTAGGCCAAATAAAGCAAACCAACGAGACAAAGTAATGGAGGGGAAAATGTTGATAAAGTCAAGCTGCATTGCTGAAGCAAATCAAGCACAATACCAAATTAGTATTTGAAGAAGTGGTTGCTCATTGTTAAGATATTTCCTTTTCATATGTTTTCAGAAACTGGTGGCAGCTATTAAATAACACAGAAAGATTGCCAGCTCTGATTCCAGGAAGGAAACCCCCACCCAGTTCCTTTCAGAGTAATTCAAAATTTGCCCATGATACTTTCAAAACTAGCTTGAGACAGAATTCATTAAGGGGCAAGGAGCACTGTAGAAGCATCTGCAAACAAGTCCCATGCATGACATGCAATGTATGACATCTATAATTCTGAATTAGAACAATTAGAAGAAGATTCATGAGGACAAACAATGAGATTATTATGGGAGGCAGGGGCATATATTAAAGTAATTCCATATATCCCTGCAGTTTTAAAAGTTCAAAGCAGTGGTTCTTACAGCTTCTGTTATAATCGATTAAAACATAAGAAAGAATTGATCCAATTTAAATTCAAAGCAGTTTGATATAATTTGAAAAGTGCAAAAAACAGACAAAAACCCCCCAGCTCTGACTGGTGTACTATAAACTATGTTGGTGGTTTTTATGATCACAGCCCTTCAACATATATTTCAAGCACATGACTTCTTCCAAAGAATCCTAGGAACTGTAATTTCATCCTCACAGAGCTACAATTCCCAGGACCCCTTTAAAAAGCTATAGTCTCCAATATTCTTTGGGGTACATCATGTGCTTTAAATGTATACTGTGCATCTCAGGATGGGGGGGAAACATGTTTCCTGTAGGGAACTGGAGGCAATCATTATTCTCTGCAGCACGTTTTTGCTGAGAGGAGACAGTGAAATACATTGTGTGTCTGCAATCTGCATCGGGTGAAACAGTCCTGGAACACCTTGCTTGTGAGAAGCGCCACTTGATTTTCCTACCACCACCACCCCGCCTTAAATAAAATAAATGAAGCTTATGGCCCTTGTTTCTTGAGCACAAACACTTGCTGAGGTAAACCCTTACGTTTCAGAAAACAGGAGGTGAAGAAAGCAAGGGCATCACCCAAAGCAGCAGGGTTGCAGGATTTAAAGCTGGAGATCATTCACATGCCTTGAAATCTTGCAATGCTGAAGGAGATAAAAAGGTAAAGAGACCCCTGACCATTAGGTCCAGTCGTGGCCGACTCTGGGGTTGTGGCGCTCATCTGGCTTTTTTGGCCGAGGGAGCTGGCGTACAGCTTCTGGGTCATGTGGCCAGCATGACTAAGCCACTTCTGGCGAACCACAGCAGCGCACGGAAACGCCGTTTACCTTCCCGCCGGAGCGGTACCTATTTATCTACTTGCACTTTGACGTGCTTTCAAACTGCTAGGTTGGCAAGAGCAGGGACCGAGCAACAGGAGCTCACCCCGTCGCGGGGATTCGAACCGCCGACCTTCTGATCAGCAAGTCCTAGGCTCTGTGGTTTAACCCACAGCGCCACCCGCATCCCTGCTGAAGGAGATAAGGCAGTCATAATTTCTTCTCCTACCTGTTCCCTGCCTGGCACAGTCACCCACCATCCTCCCCTGCTTAAGCACAGCCTCTCCAGGTATGCCACACTGTAAGAAGGTGGCAGCGTGGGTGGGTGGGTGAGTGGGTTGGGGAGGGAATCGGTAGGAGAAGTTCAGCAGCCCGATCCCTGCCTCAGTGGGGTGTGTAAAAGTATATGGCTGTTCTCTGGTTCGGAATATGTCAACCCTAAAGACTCAGCCAAGTTAAGCACTAATAAGTTCCATTGTCTTCAACATGAGAGAGCTTAAGGGTCTGTTTAACTTTCCCATCGAAACAAAAAGCACTTTTCAGCCCAACTCAAAACGTGGTGACACCAGATGTAAATCTAGCTAGATTCAACTGGCCTTCCAAAATTTGGTTGACACTTTTGTCATTTTGGGGAAATCTGTGCCCCTCTCATCCCCAAATAATCTTACCAAACAAGTTCAGCTCTTTTGGCCTAAAATGGCACTATATTCTTATGGTGATGGTGACAATAGATATATAGGATGTTGTCCTTACATACACTCTCTCTCTCTATCTATCTATCTATCTATCTATCTATCTATCTATCAGATCTGTTTAAGGTCTTATAATTAAAACAGAATCTTTGAATATGCCTAAGAGGTTATAAGAAGCCAGTACAAAGGCAGAATTGTTTTGGTGAGTTTTTGTTGCTTCTATTCTAAAAGTTTTAGAGGTCAATGCCTTGGACATATTCTTATTTTAAAGAAGGAGTGATCGGGGCAAACTATTACATATCTTCTCCTACAAAGCCATTTAGATAGTAACCATCAGTTACTCTTGTTTATTCTTCCACCTTTTTACGTTGACCAAAAATATGCTGCTTTAGAGTCCGAGTGCTTCAGTCGAAAGAGAATTAAATGGAAGAAAATACATTTAACAACATTGCGTGGACCCTGCAAAAAACTTGCACGCATGAGGAGCACTGATCCCACCCCACAAATACCCGCCTGGAAGCACTTTAACAACAAACAATGCAAGTCTAAGGCAACAGAGATATTAAAGCTAATCTGAAATGAACAGGGATGAGGTAACTACTGTTCCTCTGTTAAAATAGGTCTGTTTATATTCTAACAGACTCTGTGACCTTCAGTCCTGTCCCAGTCGGATATAAAGAATACAAAGAGTTTCTTCCTAATCTCACGAGGACTCGGATGCCTATTAACAAGAACACCTATTAACAAGAATATTTTTTGTGTGCGTGTGCATGCATGCACACATTTTGTGTCACTGAGTGATGCAACTGATGCTATTGTGATTCAGAGTCAGGACCTACTCACATCATTATGGGGCATTTGAATATCCTGAATGTGCTATGACTCACGTGTGCTTATGGTCACGTGTGATAGTGCAACCAGGCAAAGGACGTGACTTCCTACATCTGTGAGGCTTCGTTTGGAGACTTCCTTGTGAATCCAGTGCCGTCTTCTGACCACACCCAAAGCTTACTGCTGTTGGTTTGCTACTCAAACAGATGCTCACAGCATCCCACTGCTAAATATCACTCTTCGAGCATTCATAAAGGCAAGCTGAAATATACTCGGAGTTGAGTGTGGATTTCATGCTCTTTATTCAGCTCATAGTGGTGAGGAGGAATGGAAGTTCCCCCAGAATGTCTGCTTTATATACATTATTTACACAATGGGCCCCATGTGATTGGCTAATTCCGGGATTCACCTATAGGGCAATCAGGTTGCAGATTCACTTCCACCTGGAGCTGGATTGGGTGGCTCCTGTGGACCAATCAGACTGCTGCATTCTGAATCCTATTGTTCTAGGACCAATCAGACTGCTGCATTCTGAATCCTATTGTTCTAGGACCAATCAGACTGCTACATTCTGTATCCTATTGTTCTAGGACCAATCAGACTGCTGCCTTTTGGATCCTATTCAGCTCAGTACATAACACAAGCCAAAAGCAGTATATGCAGAGGCACACAATGAGGAGGTCCTGGTCTGGGCAGCACCATGTGCTCAATTCCCCCCTGGCTTGTTTCTATAAACAGTGATCATGCACCAGATGAGATAGGGGGAAGTAAAAAGATCCCCCTCAGTCATATTGCTTCCGATGTTGTGATTGCCATGTTTCCAACCTAAGGAAAGCACAAGTACCACTGTAAGAGATCACTAAACAAGTCTTTAAAATATATATGCAATCTGTTTCTGACTACCCACATGGCAACCGGTTCATCTGTGTTCTGTGTTGTTAGAAAAGAAGGCTGTCTTTGTTGTAAAATAAGCATATCATATAAATAAGCATATCTTATATACGTTGTGTATGCAAACTCTCATGGTGTGCCAGAGGCATTTTCTCTTCTAGTTTTTATTATTATTTATTGAATTTATATGCTGCCCTATACCCAGAGGTCTCAGGGTGGTTCACAGAACAAAATCAAAATATAAAACCAGAAAATATATAATCAAAATAAAAACAACAACCCAATAACCCCACTCCAGATCTATAAGTTGCTGTTCTCAGGGAGCAGCAAGAACTTCCTGATTCAGTCTTGTTAAAGGAATGTGAACAAATTTAATAAAATAATAAGAATGCTTCGGGACCAAGCTAATCAATATGCTAGCTATACATATCTGTGCCCTTAAGTGTAGGGTTTGTTTCTTTACACAATTGCCAGAATTGGGTTGTATGTGTTTTTGAGGGAGAATCTGTATCAGGACACTAATGTGGAAGATAGGGAAGATTTTATCCCCCTGCAATGTGATTCCAAACCAGATCAGACCCACCATACCTGCAATTTGCATTTATTTATTTTCATCCTACCTCCTCTACCTATTTCTCCAAAGACACTCAAGGTTAATGGGTTAATGGATGAAGCTAATGGGTGGGTTACATACATACATACATACATACATACATTTGTGTTTTTAGTTGTATCTGTTTTAATTTATATTATGGGCTGCACTGGGGAAAGGTGCAGATATAAAATAAAAAAGGGAATAAATAAAAAAGCAATAATTAAATTCTTTCAAACATTAAAAAAACTATAATTTACAGAATCTCTCTCTAGTTGCTTATTATTCATATTAGGTTTACCAGCTCAGTATATACACTGTAAGTATACATTGTAAGAATAAACAAAATACAGAAAGCATTTATTAAAACAGAAATCTAGGCTTCTGCTTTGACAATCAAGTTCTTATCTCCCAAGTTCTTATGGCTGAAATAAAATGCATACTTACTGAATGTCTGTTTCCTCCAGCATCTGAAAATTAAAAAATCTAGTTTAGGAACTGGTAAGAGAGTTAACAAAACAGTGCAAATCAAGGTACAAACAAGAGGTCTAGAATCCATTTTTATCTGAATGCTTTCTAGCTTTCACAGTTACATTTGCAATAAACATATCATGGAATCATAGAATTGTAGAGTTGGAAGGGACCTCCAGGGTCATCTAGTCCAACCCACTTCAATGCAGGAATCTCAGCTAGATCATACATGACAGGTGGCCCTCCAACTTATAAACCTCCAAGGAAGGAAAGTCTACCACCTCTCATGGAAGTCTGTTTCACTGCCAAACAGCTCTTACTGCCAGCAAGTTATTCCTGTTGTTTAGTCGGAATCTCCCTTTTTAAAAAGCTTTTACTATCAAAGTGGTTGATTTTAATTTTGAAGTTGAAGCAAAAACTAACATTTTAATTGCTTTGCCAATTCCGTGGCATTCCTTTGTTGGTACCCATAGTGTGTTCAAATGTCTGATCCTGTAACAAAAATATGTAATTTGTCCCATAGTACATCCACACCCAAGGACTGGAAAGTGGCCAATATGACACCAGTTTTTTAAAAGGGATCCAAAGGGAAACTGGAAAATCACAGGCCAGATAGTGTAATGTCTAGTTCTAGGAAAACTGGGGGAAAGCATTATATTTTTAAACATATTTTGTTGTTGTTTTTATTACACAAAACGTATCTTTAGAACAAAGAATTAACATCAGACACCTCCCACACCTGTTCGTGTGTGGAAAGCATTACCAAAGCTTATAGAAGAGCAAGATTTCTGCAAGGATACATCCATATTCACTAAACTTTTTTAGTTCTTTTGAGATTGTCAACAAGCATAGAGAGGTGATCCAGTCAACACTGTTTACAGTACTTAGAATCTCAAAAAATCTGCAATAAAATTCTGCATCAGATTCCTAAGTAAGCTTAGCTGTCACAGGATATGAGGGCGGGTCCTTTTATGGATCTGTAGATGGTTAAAGAACAGGAAGCAGAAAGTAGGAATGAAATGACAGTTCTCCCAATAGAGGAATGGAGGAAGTGGAATCCTGACAAAGATCAGTATTAGGACCTGCCGTTTTGTATTTGCTTATAAATGACCTAGAGTTAGGGGTAAGCAGTGAAGCAGCGAGGTTTGCTGATGACGCCAGGCTGTTTTCATCAAACTACAGCTCCCAAGGTTCGTTGAGGGAAGGTGTTACAGTGTGATATCTTTGTTAATTTATCCTGATTCCCTGTTTTGTGTTCATCTTACCTATTCATGAATAATTTGAAAGTGTATTCCGTTCCATGTAAACTGTTTTTACAATGAAGCAGAAAACTAATTATGTTAAGCAAGAAGAGGAAGTCGGTAAACTCCTTTCAAAAATTATACAGTGGTACCTTGGGTTACAGACGCTTCAGGTTACAGACTCCGCTACCCCAGAAATAGTACCTTGGGTTAAGAACTTTGCTTCAGGATGAGAACAGAAATCGCGCAGCAGCGGGAGGCCCCATTAGCTAAAGTGGTACCTCAGGTTAAGAACAGTTTCAGGTTAGAACGGACCTCCAGAACGAATTAAGTTCTTAACCTGAGGTACCACTGTAATTGTAAATGGGGAAAAATGATACAAAGCTAACATAAGTTTTTACTAAAGAGCTATCTTCATATTATGCTCATTTCTATTTCTGTGTGTAGAATAAAATAAGAAACTCTCAGCCAACCTATAGAGTTGCCATATTTCAAAAAGTAAAAACCAGGACACCCCCAAAGTTGCTGAGCTTTCTTTAGACAAATGCCACATTTTGGGAATTCCACCTTTGAAATCCCAGTAATCTCGGACGTAGGGCAGCCTTGCCCTTGCACACAGTTTCAGTGCTAATTAAATACTCTCCCACTATATTGTGCTGAAGTAGCTTCCAAACAGTAAGGAGTTGGCACTGATTCCAGTTCCCATTCTATGCTCTGCCCACCAAAATACAAGGTTGGTCTTGCAATGTGAAGGGGGGAGATGTGCGGGGGGGGGGGGAGATGGAGTAGTTGACTCAACTCCTTAATTCATACAGACAGGTCATGATAAAGTAGGCGCAACATTCGGGATTGTTGAAGTAGATGTAGTTCAGAACAGCTCCTTTCACCAACAGTTAGATCAAAGAGCCATTTGAAATAAACAAATCTGAAACAATTTATTAAAGTCACATGTGGCATGCTAAGCATTGTACTACCAGGAAAGAGGAAATTATAAATTTTGTGTATTTCGAAAGCTTCAAATGAAGGGATGTTTGTTAATTATACTGTGGCTGGGTGGGTGTGGAAACCGGGGGAAACCAACGGATATCCCATGTCTTTGTCACCCTAAATCAAAAGTCTAGGTGGCCAGCAATGTTTTACGAGTAGGTCTACAAGTATGTCTCATGGAGGTTTTACAAGTGTGTCTTTATCTGCAGCAAATCCTTTGGTGCAGATATCCTTTGACTTTAGTAAAGTGATGCAATTAAATGATTGTTTAGCCCCCAAAATCTGGCCTAAAACAAAACAAAAGCAATGGACATTGTTGCCAGGTTTCACTGCACCCTCTACAAGTCAATCAGGCATGAGTCCCAACTGAAAAAAGAGAGATGCATTGCTCACATACTATATACAGATACAGGTAGGTAGCCATGTTGGTCTGCCGTAGTTGAAACAAAATAAAAAAATTTCCTTCCAGTAGCACCTTAGAGACCAACTAAGTTTGTTATTGGTATGAGCTTTCGTGTGCATGCACATATCTGAAGAAGTGTGCATGCACACGAAAGCTCACACCAACAACAAACTTAGTTGGTCTCTAAAGTGCTACTGGAAGGAATACTATATACAGCAGATATCTAGCTCTCTGGAATGCATGAAAATACTCATACGTTCCATTCTGAATACAGTGGTACCTCTGGTTAAGAACTTAATTCGTTCTGTAGGTCCATTCTTAACCTGAAACTGTTCTTAACCTGAAGACCACTTTAGCTAATGGGGCCTCCCGCTGCCACCGCACCGCCGGAGCACAATTTCTGTTCTCATCCTGAGGTAAAGTTCTTAACCCGAGGTAATATTTCTGGGTTAGCGGAGTCTGTAACCTGAAGCATATGTAACCTGAAGCGTCTGTAACCCGAGGTACCACTGTATTGTGTTTCCAACAATTTATTCACTGTTATCATCACCAGCTTTCCCTTCACTTTAAGAAAAAGGCCTAGACAACAAAACTGTGTTGAATACAATGGTGGGTGGTATTCCGCTAAGGGCTAATCCACACTTACCTTTTGCCCCGTGCTTTCCTGTCGGACACGGACCTTGAAAGCCCGGACCTGTGCCTAGAAATGCAGAACAAAAGTAAGTGTGGATGAGCCCTCTTTCCACCGGCAGAAAGATTTACGCTTGTGCAATGAATTCCACCCCATCTCCAAATCTGCCCTCCCCTAGAATAGATTTAGGGGGCATGCAGGGGGGAAGAGAATGACATTCAATTGCACAACCGCAAATCCATGCTATATAGTTTAGCATTACAATGGGTGGTATTTAACTAAACATTACTCAGAGCAGACTTGTTGAAATTAATGAACCTAATGGTGCTGGAGGAGAATCTTGAGAGTTCCCTGGACTGCAAGAAGATCAAACCTCTCCATTCTTAAGGAAATCAGCCCTGAGTGCTCACTGGAAGGACAGATTCTGAAGCTGAGGCTCCAATACTTTGGCCACCTCATGAGAAGAGAAGAATCCCTGGAAAAGACTCTGATGCTGGGAAAGATGGAGGGCACAAGGAGAAGGGGACGACAGAGGACGAGGTGGTTGGACAGTGTTCTTGAAGCTACTAGCATGAGTTTGACCAAACTGCAGGAGGCAGTGGAAGACAGGAGTGCCTGGCGTGCTCTGGTCCATGGGGTCACAAAGAGTCGGATATGACTAAACGACTAAACAACAGCAACAACAAATGACTAAGGGCCATTCATTCCAATACTCATTCTACACTGAATAAAACTTAGCTCAGGGGTCAGCAAGGTTTACTTCACCTGGGCCGGTTCACTCTAGCGGACATCCCTCCATGCGCGCCCTCGATTTCCGGTGTCTGCGCAGACACGATTTCCAGTGCTGCGGAAGCGAGTCCCTGCGCCACACTGGTTTAACGCAGCACGTGGGGACACACCGTGGGAGCGGCTTGGTTCGGGGGCAGCTCAGGGGCCGCTTAAACGACCCCCGTGGGCTGCTTGCGGCCCATGGGCCTTAGATTGCCGACCCCTGACTTAGCTGAAGGACACCCAATGAAAAGAACGGTAAAATGATCCAACTATTTTGCAAGTGTATACTCACAGATGGGATAATCTTTGGATTAGCATATGAGAAGTTTAGATGCTCTTTCAATGGCACATACTTTACTGTGGCCTTCTGTTGGGAAACGTCTCAGTTCCACCAAGAGGGCGCTTTGGAGGGGTAATGTCTGGAGTCTTGAAGCAGGAAACTGGTAAAACAGGTTTCCTGAGGCACAAAGCCACTTCTAGGGTCTTATTCCAAAGTGAGAAAGGCAGCAAGGTTTTCTCAGGCCTCTCTCCGCTTGAGAACATTTGTTTTTCCGCAGCATATTGTGGGTGGCAATGGGACCCTGTGAGCGTTTCCTGTCTGGACACTGAAACCGCCTCCCAGCAAGTGACTCATTTTTCCAGTGCAAGTACCCATGCAGAAGCTTGTTGATCAGGTTTTCCTTATCCCAGGTTATAAGGAAAAAGAAGAACGGATTTCTGCAAGGTCTGATTCTCACATTTTAGATGCATTAATTTGAAACAGCTTCAAGGGAGGACAGAATTTAATGGGGAAACAATAGCTGAGGCAGTCCTCCTTAGAACATGCATTCACAGGATCTTATAAGTCTGCTGGTGCACAGCAGCCATGTGAAAATCCTGGAGTGCTGGCTCCATGGTCAAGGGGAAGCGATGTACACCAATGCATGTAAAAAGTTTAGTCCTGGGTGTAATATTGGGCAGCTGGAGTTTTGAATTGGCCCTCATTTAGGACCTCCTCCCATCACTGCTGGCTTTGAAGAGCCTATGGGGAAAGTTCTTTCAGTGCTCCTCCAATGGCCTTGGGCGGGTGAAATATACTCGGAGGCGAGAGTGGATTTCATGCTCTTTATTCAGCTCATAGTGGTGAGGAGGAATGGAAGTTCCCCCAGAATGTCTGCTTTATATACATTATTTACACTATGGGCCCCACGTGATTGGCTAATTCCGGGATTCTCCTGTAGGCCAATCAGGTTGCGGATTCACTTCCACCTGGAGCTGGATTGGGTGGCTTCTGTGGACCAATCAGACTGTTGTATTCTGAATCCTATTGTTCTAGGACCAATCAGACTGCTGCATTCTGAATCCTATTGATCTAGGACCAATCAGACTGCTGCCTTTTAGATCCTATTCAACTCAGTACATAACACCGGGGTAACATGGTGCTGGGCAGGCCTGCAGTGCTAAACAGAGGTGGCAACAGTGGGATCAACAGACCAGGAAGTAGCAGCACACAGAGGCGGAGCTAGCTGCTCCGGCACCCGGAGTGGCACACATGCTGTGCACCTGGGGGTGGGGCTAGCTGCCCACAGGGGTGGGGCTAGCATCCAGCGGGTGCGGCAACAGTGTCACCGCCCTCAGGGATGACACCCGGGGCAAACCGCACTTACTGCACCCCCTTCCTCCGCCTGTGGCAACGCATAGAGCAGCATCTGCAATGCCTGGAAGTATGAGGCAGGGACACGAAGCACCACAACTGCTTCTCTGTGTACCAGGCGGCTTCAGCAGGCCGCTGCAATGTCCTGCAATGTGGCCAGATGCCATGGAGTGCCACTGCAGATCAGTGATGGCATGTTGCACCCAAGTATTTTAAGGCGCAAGGGAAATGACACGGCTGCTCACCACAGCTATCCAGCACTCAGGCAGTAGCAGAAGTAGCAGTGGCGACACTGAGAGGAGTTCTGGGGGTCTGCAGCAAACCACATTCAACTCTCCCACCAAGGAGCCTAGGCCCTGATGTAACATTGCTGCAAAGTGACACTACTGCACGGTTCCTGGGTGGAAATGGCCAAATAAAACAAAGAGCCAAAAGCAGCATTAGCACGCTTGCTGGAAGAGACTCCAACTACAAATGGGCAATGGAATCCCTACTCCAACATATTGTCTCTTGGCAGGCAACATTCCAGACACCTTCTTAGAAAAGAGCCCACCACACATCTGACAAATCTGGTGACATCAGAGAGACAGGAAGGAAAGGAGGAAAGAAGGAGAGTTCACAGGTATGAATCACTTTTTCCTATTGGAACGTAAGTCAGCATCCCTCCAGGCGGAGTGGAGCTAACTTCCTGGCAAGTGGGTCACTGTTACTTACCAAGAAGAAAAGGTCAAGGCGGGGAGGAAGCTGGTGTGGTGCAAACACATCAATAGTAGCACCGGATTGGTTCCACTGGTGCATTTGCACCGTCCTGACTTCTCTGACATAATACCTCTCCCTATTTCCCTCCCTGTAAGCAACACTGACCTACCTGCCAGTAAGCTAGAAAAACGGCTGTGCACTACCTGGCAAATGAATTTTGCTGCTAAGGGGAGGGGAAGTATGCTCTGGGACAGGCGTCAGCAACCTGCAGCCCATGGGCCAGAAGCAGCCCGCAGACGCTGTTTAACCGCCCCATGAGCTGCCCCTGGACCGAGCCGCCCATTCGGCGAGTCCCCGCGCCGCACCGATAACCGGTGTGGTGCAGCACGGGGACTCGCTTTTGTCTGTGCACGTGCGGATGCCAGAATTTGCATCTGCGTATGTGCAGACTCGCGCAAACTCTGGAAATTGCGTGGGGGGCGCTCACGCACGCTTGCTATCCGGCCCACAGAGGGGGCTCCGCGGGACTGATCCAGCCAAGGCAAGGTAAACCCTGCCAACCCCTGCTCTGGGAGGTACCTTCCGAAAGGAAAAGGAGACATACTCTTCCCCACAGCTGATGGCTGGATCATTCAGATTTTGGCCCCCTCAATGCATATGCTGCAACACTGCCTCCAAAGCAGAGCTCTTTAGTTTGTCCCATAGGAAATTCATGAGAGTTATACTTCTAGAGGCATACAGATGGGAACTAAACTTGCTTCTTGCTCATATTCTTCCAATAAGTTTGATGCAAAAGCACACGAGGCCACCGCCTTGCTGAAGTTATACTAGATGAGAAGCTTTCTGGGAACCATCTTGGGTTCCATGACAGAAGAAAGTAGGGGTGTACTGTAATAAAATAAATAAGAATCAAACCTTATCCTAGCTGCATAGTTCTGCCATGGATTCTTCATTAGCTACACTCTAAAGAGTGGCAGAATGTTAAACAAGAGTTCTGTTGCAAGGCTCCAGTTTGGAAGAGCTTTAATTGTGTCTCCAAAGCCAGGAAATTTAGTCACCCCCATTTTTAACACCCTGCCTTCTTTATGAGCCATGCCTCATCTGGGTGTGTGCTTCTTTATATAAATGCTATCAATAATCATCTCCATACACAAAGTCAACATGGTTCTGTTTCAGTAAGTTATGCAGTAAGCCTCCAAAATGGCTTTGCTGTTGTGTGATGCCCTGCTTATCTGTTTGAAACACTTTTCCTGTGTATCAGTCAGGAAAAGCAGGCGCAATTAGAACAATACACTGTTATTACATTTCCAAAAATAACTGAAGCTGTAGCTGGGTATGTGTAGGACAGAAGGTGGAATGCAAGATTAAGGGGGTGCTTGCTTATCGTCAGCCTAATCCAGCTCCCACTTTTAATCAAATCTCATTTCATTGGACTTCCTGGCTCTACAACAAAGTATTGATTAAGAGGATTTTAAGTAACATATGCCCTTCTCAAACCCATTTGAGCAGATAAACTAAATAATGATAGCAAGTTCTGTTTACTGTAAAGTTTTAAAACTATAAGCTTCCCCAAAGGAGATTTATTGTGGAAGTTATACCAATTCTCACTTTGCCATTTAATAGGGTACAAAACAGAGAAGCATTCATTTTCTTGGAGTTATCCAACCCCCGAGCCGTCTGAAGGCAATCCTGTATAGGGAAGGGTTTTTTTAATGTTTAAATATGTTTTTAATATATGTTGGAAGCTGTCCAGAGTGCTAGGGCAACCCAATAAGTTGTGTGGTGTATACATAGCAAAATTATCATTATGGAATGGGGACGTCGCTATTTTCATCGGAGAAATGTTGAAGGGTATGTAGTTCTTGGCAGCCTTGGAAGAATGCTGTGCTCAGTAACATTTCTTCACATGCACTACCCTAAATGTTTAAACTGGCATATTCATCTGTAAGGTAAAAGGTAACGGTAAAGGACCCCTGGACAGTTAAGTCCAGTCAAAGGCAACTATGGGTTCCTTTTTGTTGCAGTCTAGTATGAACAAGAATGAATCCTAGAGTAACCTATGCAGATGAAGAGCAGTGTCCGTGTTAGGGAGCAGGCAAAATCGGCCAGTTTTTGATTGCATTGATTTTTCATTGTCCAATCTTAAATTCAGTTCTCCACATTTCCACAAAAGTTTGGTTGGCAGAAGGGGAAGATTGGCAGAACCCAGTTGGCTAAGTTGAACAGAAGGATACCTCTGCTTGTTCCAGCACACACGCTCCCCAGACCAGCATAAGATGGGCTTGGATTACTCTGTTAGTAGCTCTTTTGTAAGTTTCTAAATGAACTCCTCATAAATGCTTTCTTCCTCAAAGAAACAGTATTTACATATAAAAATGCCACATGGGTTCTGTATTATTTATGTGTTTGATTTTTCCCCCCGGCTTACTTACCATTAGTAGCTTTTCTGATTTCAGTATAAACCGTTTCAGGCTTCTGTACAACAGGAGCTGGGAAAGGTATCAATAATAATAATAATAATTACTTTGAATCAGTAATAATAATTACTTTGAATAATAATTCCTAGAATCAATTACTTTGCGGTGCGTGTTTTAAAACTGCCCTGTCATCTCAAAAGAAGGAAGCACATGACTACCAATTAGGAAAATGGCCTTTACTATCTGTCCAGACCTGAAAGTGCACTATAAATAGATGCAATGTTTATTCATAACCCAGGTGCAATTTTGCATTCTGATACACAAATATGAGCAAGACGTACCTCAGTAATTTTCCAAGTATTTAGCCAGTCCTGTTTCTGGCGCAACACAAAAGCAATCATAAACAACGAAGCAAGGCTGCAGAGCCAGCCTCCTGACAGCAGCATCACTGCAGGGCAGGGGCAGAGGCAAAGTTGGATCAATGAAAGCACAACAGCCTGCCCACCCCAGTTGCAGTTAAGTAGCAGCAATATCATTGTCAGGAGGCTAGTGCTGCTGCAGCAGCCCTCCAGCCCCTTCAGGTGCAATGAAGTCAACAAGGCAGCCCTTAGTGGGAGGAAGTGTGTGAAGGGTGTCTTATAGCTGGCAAAATATGTGTCACTTCCGTAAATCGGATCACTGTGCTCTGTGGAAAATAACTTGCCTAGCTGAGCTGCTGGCCACAAACCTATTTGACTGCCGAGCCAAGGAGATAAGTAATTCTACAACCTTTAGAAGACATCTGAAGGCTGTCTGCATAGGGAAGTTTTTAAATGTTTAATGTTTTGTTATGGTTTTTATATATGTTGGAAGCTGCCCAGAGTGGCTGGAGCAACCCAGTCAGATCGGTGGGGTATTATTATTATTATTAATAATAATAATAATAATAATAATAACAACAACAATAATAATAATAATAGAATAGGACATCTCTATTTTCACCAGAGAAATGTTGGAGGATATGTTATGAAGTAGCAGAGAATTGCTGAACTTTTAATACCAACCGTTTCAAGAAATGTGCATGTTTGTTTTTAAAAGACACTATTAACCATACACTTCTGTCCGGTTGGTCTAAATTTGGTTTGGTTATTTTTTACATTTACCAGCATATCTCTGCCAAAATGTTTGAGACTGGCAGCAATGCTAGTGGTTTTTGACTGTCTGGGTCAAAGCAATGCAGGATCTGTGCCTCTGCCTTTTCCTATTTCTTCCTCCTGATGGTTTGCCAAAAGGTCTTCTAACAAGCAACATCCTTGATTCAGACAATTCATCCCCTGCCAAGTCCTGCTTCGGCTCAAGATATTGACACTGAGCTGGCCATCTAGGGGCTTTCACTCCCAGGAACAAATCCCACAGACCAAACATGCTGCTTCGTCCACTGGGATAAAAAGTTAGTTTGACACCAGACCAGACACAGGCTAATGTTACCAAGTAAAACTAATCAATGGTCCATGTAATGATTATATTGTGGCACAAAGACTATCAACAGTTAGACTATTTTTGTTAAAAGGAAAAGGTCAGCTGCTATTTATATGGCTCCATGCAGATGATAAGCCTATAAATTAACTGATCTGCTACACTCAGCCTGGGAATGGCATATTCATGCTCATATTATTGAAAAAGGAAAAGTGCTAACATGCCATTTTGCAGGGAGAGCAACATTGCAATGGCTGCTCCTTTTTGCCTACACTTCCATACACAACACAAGGACACATACTCAGCATATTACTGTTACTGTGAAAGTGGATTAACAGTGATCTTATCTCTGTGACTACAGAATGGATCACGATGAGTTGTGCTAGAATCAAACACTGAAGAATAAGGGCAGCCATACAGAAAAAAAGGAACCCAACTGTTAAGATTATCTGGGAATGCATAATAAAGCTACCATGTCTTCCCTTGTTTTCCCCTTTTCCTGTGGGATGTTTGGACTCTGGTTATAGTATGTGAGTTAGCTCACTTCCCTAACCCATCCTTTTTTTCTAAAATACCAATTGCCTGCAGTCAGCCTTGGGGAAGAATGCACCTTATGCACACCTGCTCTCTGCAATTAGGATGGTGTGGATTCATCTATAGGGGATGCAGGTGATATGTCAAGGGCTGCAAGCAGAACTGCATGGTTCTGATGTCCTTTCTGGATTTCTGACTATATGCAGGTGGCTGCAGTGTCCTGTTTATGAAGAAACACCTGCTGATCCTTGAAGCGGAAGCTTTATTTCTTCCTGTTTACCAGTAGTGTGGAACAACGGTTTTAAGATATAATCCTGCTCCTTCTAAAATGAATTGGGAAATTACAATTGACACCACTCAGTGGTAAGCCCATTGCTCTTCCTGCTACATATAATGGCACAAGTCAGCTATTTAGTTACCTCTGTAAGCATCAGCAGCCGACACTTCCACGACAGTATATTCCACCTCGGAATTCTCAAGATCAGGTCCTGCCCCAAAAATAGCAAGAAGATGTTTCTTTGTATTGCACTCTGAACTTGCTGAGGGCCTGTTTTTTGCTATCTCTGGAATAAACCAGTCACACTCCCATTGACTTTAGAGGATGCAAAAACAAAGCTTGTGTACACTACATCTGCAATTCAGATTTTTTTAGCTTTTCCCCTCCTGCTTTGGAATCCCAATAAATGCAGCAGATTTTCCCTCCATCAGCGACCAAAACAAACCCAGAGAGTTGGAGAGACTTGTAGGGACCTGCTTTTGCCATGTATGTGTGGAGAGGAGGAGGAGGAGGAGAAGCCATGATATTTGACCTGACCTCTCCTTCTGCAGAATCTATCCCCCTTTATATGGGGCTCTGAAACAAGAAGTGGCAACTTCAAATACATATTTAATATTGTATTTTAATTTTAAGTAAATGTGGATCCCACCTTTCAAATAAATTGCTGCTGAAGAAGCAACCCATGAACGAGCTATGTCTGGTAATTTGCAATTAGGTTTATTTATATTTATTTATAGTTGTTACTTCTCTCAGCGGATACGTATTTATTTTAAAATATATATATAACATGCAGATCTTAATTCATTCAACAATGTGCTATTTATAATTGTTTGATTAACAGGAGGCTGTGCTTAAAATTTCTTTGAGTGGGCAGTATCAGCTAATTTTAAACCAAGCAAAAAGGAAGTCTAGCTTTTCTGACACAACCCAAGGCCTAATGGAGGTATCAGTCTTTCTAAGAGCTAGACTAGATGATATATTAATTACCTATCTGTGCCCTTAAGTGCAGCATGTTTAACACAAATTGCAGGTGTGATCTCTCCGATCTGGATTGAGATGCTAGCATGTGGAGCTTTAGCCAACTGCCCCCTTCTCTGACTCCAACATGGATTGAGGAGCCCATGCCTGTAATTCGTATATGGAAATAAATCTACAGTGCTGCCCCACAAGACGAATGCCTCGCAAGACGGAAAACCCGCTAGACGAAAGGGTTTTCCGTTTTTCAACGCGCTTCGCGGGACGAATTTCCCTATGGGCTTGCTTTGCAAGACGAAAATGTCTTGCGAGTCTTGAGATTTTTTTTTGCTTCCCCCCTCCTTTTTCTAATCCGCTAAGCCTTTAATAGCCTTTTAGCAGCTAATCCGCTAATCCGCTAAGCCTTTAATAGCCGCTAAACCGCTAATAGCGCTAATCCGCTAAGCCACTAATAGGGTTGCTTCGCAAGACGAAAAAACCGCTAGACGAAGATACTCGCGGAACGGATTAATTTTGTCTTGCGAGGCACCACTGTATAATGTGCCTAGCAGAATCTAGCAAGACTTGACAACAGCTAACTTGAGCTTTTCCACTCAGTCATTGGATTGGCAATCAGTATAAAACATGGCAGGGACATATCTAAGCATTAAAAGCATTTGCTCATATGCTACGCTAATAGTGTTGACCTTGTGGCAACAAAACACATAGTGGAAGGTGGCAGGTTTGCTTTGCTGTGGGGACGTTGTTGGTGGGTGATAGAAATAATAATAGATGTCAAGTGATGTCAAAGCAGCAATGATAAAAAGATAAAAAGAAGTGGGTAAGGATTGAAAGGTCCCTCTAAAATATTTTAACACTTGTAAAACAGGAACAAGCCTGATTGGGCTTTCTGTGGAATCTTTCAGTATCTGAATCCAAGTGGCATCCATGTAAATTGTTGCATTTTGAAATTTATCCCCAGAAAAGATATACAAGCATAGTGAAATCACTCCAAGCTGGAAGAAATAGATTCTGTTCTAATCCTCAATAAACTATACTCTCTTGAAAAGTTAGAAATACACTCAAAAATAAAAACCCAGAAGTTACCTTGACCATCCTCGTTTGATTTTAAATTATTTTTTTCACCATCTTCATTATAACCTGACCCTAAAATGTTAAAAAAACAAAACAAGAGATGAGCAGACAAACTAATTAGCAGCAGTTTTAAAAACAGCTACAACTCCCTTTTAAGCACAATATTTGTATTGTCACATATCACGTATAGAAAGTCTTAACCTGGGGTTTTGCCCTCCACGGTCTCCAATGTGCCCCATCCTTGAATCTTCCTTATCCTTGCCTGCTATAAGTACTCACAGTCAGGCCCCTCATTTGATTCTTGAGCTATGCTTTGCAGCCCGCTCCACTGATGGTTATTCCTTTTTCCTATGCCCTGCTCTTTGACAGGCACTCGTGGGTTTTTTGTTTGTTTGTCCCTTCTTTTCTGCTTCTCTTTAAGCTCCTTTGACCAGCTTGAACTAATTCAGACCCTCCAAGTGCCCCTCTTTTCCAGGGACCTCCCTGATTCAGAGAAGCTGTCCCAGTTTCTGATTCGATCCCGGAACGTCCCACTTTTCCTTAGGATGTTCCTATTTTCATTGGAGAAATGTTGGAGGGTGTATGGAGTTATTCAATCCCCGAGGTGTCTGAAGGCTATCCTATGTGGGGAAGGTTTTTTAAATTGTTGAATGTATTATTATGTTTTTATGTATGTTGGAAACTGCCCAGAATGCTAAGGCAACCCAGTAAGATGTGTGGGGTATAAATAGTAAAATTATCATTATGCAACAGGACGTCCCTATTTTCATCGGAGAAATGTTGGAAGGTATGCTAATTACCTGGTGGCAACTATTCTGTGCTATTGACTACACATCTGTATGATGAACTTTGCTTAGATTGACTAGGACAGCTAAGGTTTGACGAATTTGACATTATTGGGTCTCATTTGAACAGGTAAAGACTCCATTTTAGGGTCATGCAAAGCCAAGCCAACTGATATAAGAGTGTTGTGCTTAATTTCCTATGTCTGAACATCATACTTAGCAGTCCAGTACACACAACACACAGTCCACCTGAGACTGTCTAGCAGGCTCACATCCTCCTCAGGTGTGTTTGGTCCTCCCTTTCCTGAATAAAAATAAATAAATAAATAAATTGTCCAGTAGCACCTTATAGACCAACTAAGTTTGTTCAAGAACAAACTTAGTTGGTCTATAAGGTGCTGCTGGACAATTTTTGTTTTTTTTATTTTGACTGCGTCAGACCAACACGGCTACCTACCTGAATGCCTCCCTTTCCTGGTTAGCAATAAATGTGGTTTACTTCGACATCTGAAACCACTGTAATCCTAGTTACTGCTAATCAAATGCATTTTTGTATTCTTTACAATATTCAGAGAAATGCAAATTATGAAGGCTAGCTGTATTTCGGTTTGCACATTGTTTTAGAAAGTGCAGATTGAGTAGGTCCACCTTTTAATTCGGACTGAATTTATTTTCTCCTCCATCCCTACTTGAGGGCCAGGGTGGCATAGCAGGTTCTACAGTTGCAGCTAAAGGGATAAGGGAAGCCCCCTCCCAAGACTCTCCTACTTCACTCACATCCTTTGAAAGGTGCAGAGGATGCTTGTAACCAGGGTGGATTTCATTTAAATCACAATTTAAATCACTAGTCAGTAAGACTTGATTTAATTTTTTTTTTAACAGAAAGACTCATTCTTGCTGGTATAACCTTAATATTTACAACCAGACAAAGGTTTTGTTTTTGGAATAATAAATTTTCAGAGTACCGTATTTTTTGCTCTATAAGCCGCACCAGACCATAAGACTCACCTAGTTTTTGGAGGAGGAAAACAAGAAAAAAATATTCTGAATCCCAGAAGCCAGAGCAGCAAGAGGGATCGCTATGCAGCACTCCCTCTTGCTGTTCTGGCTTCTGGGATAGCTGTGCAGCCTGCATTCACTCCATAAGACACGCACACATTTCCCTTTACTTTTTAGGAGGGAAAAAGTGTGCCTTAAAGAGCGAAAAATACGGTAGTTTTTACAGTTATATAAAAAATTACTGATTTGGTTATACTATTAGAAATACATAAAAATTATTGTGAGGTTTAATAAGTTAACTGTTTATATTTGGACAACTTTTCTGCTTTACTGGAAGGAGAAAAATAATCATTTCCTTCATAACAATTTAAACCATTTCTTACAAGTCAGTTACATTTGTTGTGAGACATTAGTGTTGAGTACAGTATAAGGTTGGGCAAGAAGGGGGGGGAGAGGCTTATATTCTTTTGCATAGTGTATGTGTGAGGTTTTGTGTCAGCGTCAACTTGGTGGGTTCTTTCTAATTGTTTATTACATTTCCTTGGTTGTGAGAGGTATTGGGGGGACAGGGTGTGGCTGGTTGTCTGTGCTTGGCTGCAGTGGGATTGTTTGCATTTGTGAGGGTGGGGAGGGCTTGTTGAGTCAGGTAAACCAGATTGATTCACAGGCTGTCAGTGGATTCTTGTTGTCTTGTTGGGCTGTGTATGTGATAAAGGGGAGCCATGCTGGGGTGAAGGCATCCTCTTCTATTTGTCCCCATGTCAGTTTCAGTTAGGGACGTGGGTGGCGCTGTGAGTTAAACCAGAGCCTAGAACTTGCCGATCAGAAGGTCGGCAGTTCGAATCCCTGTGACGGGGTGAGCTCCTGTTGCTCGGTCCCTGCTCCTGCCAACCTAGCAGTTCAAAAGCAGGTCAAAGTGCAAGTAGATAAATAGGTACCGCTCTGGCGGGAATGTAAACGGCGTTTCCGTGTGCTGCTCTGGTTCGCCAGAAGCAAGATGAGCGCTGCAACCCCAGAGTCGGCCATGACTGGACCTAATAGTCAGGGGTCCCTTTACCTTTACCAGTTTCAGTTTATTGGTTAGCTTTTCTATTAAGGCCGTTTCCCATACAAGTTGATACCATCTGTCCATGTTTACTTCTGACTGGTCTCTCCAGTGTCTGACTATGAGGCTTCTTTCTGGCTGCTGAGAGTAAGTGGGTTATAAGATGTGTATAAAGTGAGTGGTCATTATGATCTTGGAAGATGTTCAGTAGGGCCAGTTCTGGGGTGAGTTCTAATACCTGTTTAGTTATTTTGCATATCTCTTGTAGGACTGCTGTCCAGAAGGGTTGGATTTTAGGGCATTCCCACCACATGTGGAGGTAACCTCACAGGGTTGTTGTAAGCACACAAAAAACTGAAGAACCATGTATGCCACCATGAGCTCCTTGGAGGAAAAGACGGGATATAAGTATAATTAATAATAACAAATATGTGGCCCATGTCCCTATGTAACTGTTTCTATCAAAGCCAAGTTCAGCTGAAAAGCAAAAAAAGGCAACCCTTTTGGGTATATGAATAAGAATCTTTCGTTTGGGCCAGGTCTGAATAATGGCATGATTTCAAGGTGGAAGTAGTAAGACTAGGAGAGAGAAAGGGAAAAGGAGTCTGAAGCAGACACTATCAATAAGGTCATTAGCCATAAGCTACCGAAATAGAATTCCCCTTCATTATTCTGTCGTGGTGTCAGCTTCTCACCCACTGAATTGGTTGCTGCTATAGAACTGAGAAAAGAAAAACAGAACAAAGAACAGAATATGAAGCACTGGTATTTTAACAACAGAAGGTCATCTTTTAATAAAGCTCAGTCTTCCCCTTGATCTCAGGGATATAATTCTGGGGACATGCAATCTAAAGAATCACGGATTTCCACAAATGCTTCTAAGACACTAAGCTGTTTCATAGATGTGCAAAGGCATCATGGGATGTGCCTTTTGATGGTAAGCACCCTTATCACAGTGGGATGCGGGTGGCGCTGTGGTCTAAACCACTGAGCCTCTTGGGTTTGCCCATTAGAAGGTCGGCAGTTTGAATCCCCGCAACAGGGAGAGCTCCCGTTTCTCAGTCCCAGCTCCTGCCAACCTAGGAGTTCAAAAGCACGCCAAAAAGTGCAAGTGGATAAATAGGTACTGCTCAGGTGGGAAGGTAAACAGCGTTTTCATGCGCTGCTCTGGTTTCGCCAGAAGCGGCTTAGTCATGCTGGCCACATGACCCGGACTTAACTGTCAGGGGTCCTTTACCTTTACCTTTACCCTTATAACAAGTCCCTGGCAATTACAATCTAGGTTGCCTTGGCCCCAGGTAGGCCATTTTTCATTGGAAATGTGATACCAGAAGAGCCTCAGATCTGAAGGACGATAAAAAGCCGAATTATTCTTATAAACTACTATTTATATTATTTTTATGTGCCATTTGGGGGGGGTGTCCTGCTTTGCCTTTAAAGTGGCTCACAACAATATGAATAATCCAAAAGCAACATAATTATTTGGAAACAAACTAATTTGTTTGCCTGGGTTGTTGAGGCATAATGCTTCCCTGCTGCAGTAAGATTGCGGCCCCCACCCCGCCAGGCCAACTTTATATTTTATCTCATTTGTTTGCTTTAGTATTTTAACACTTAAAACCACACTAGCAGAAAGGCAGTAAAATGACTGCAGGGAGAGGATAGCACCTCGGTGGCATAATCTTCTGTTTTCTTTACTCTTCTGACGTTCTCACCACAAACTCCTATACAGTGGTACCTCGGGTTAAGTACTTAATTCGTTCCGGAGGTCTGTTCTTAACTGGAAACTGTTCCTAACCTGAAGCACTACTTTAGCTAATGGGACCTCCCGCTGCTGCTGCGCCGCCGGAGCACAATTTCTGTTCTCATCCTGAAGCAAAGTTCTTAACCTGAGGTACTATTTTTGTGTTAGCGGAGTCTGTAACCTGAAGCATATGTAACCTGAAGTGTATGTAACCCGAGGTACCACTGTATCTGCTTGGATTATGGTTACCATTTCCACCACAAAAGATTTGCACAGGCAAGTGACACATCTGTGGACGGGGCAGGGGTGAATATACGAACCTTATCCCCAACATCCGTGTGCTGCTTGCATTCCACCCACCCTGCCAGCCCCCAGTCTTCCTCCTGTCGCATGGGTGATGTCTGCAAAGGGCTTTTGCTGGCATTTTCGTGCATATGAATAGAACACCTCCTACTATTGCTGACTCTGATAAAGCAGGGCTTTCGATAACATAGAGGAGTCTTCTTGCGTTCAAGTAGGTATGAGAAGAACCCCATGCAGTCTGAGGAAGACGGGGGCTGGGGTGGGTGGGTTGTGCGCAAGTATGTTGGGGCAGTGTTTGCATGTGAACTCCTGCTCCTGTCCACCCTTTGAGCATTTGAATGTTCAGGTGAATGCCTGAACATGCCTATGCACAGGACAGCATCAGGGACACATCATCACCACATTTATTAGAAATAACTCACTTTTAGCACGGTAAGAAAGCCAACCTACCTAGTCAACTCCAAAGGATTGCCTTTAGCTTCATAAGGGAAAATAACAGCAAGTTAGTGAAATATACCACATGTATAGAAAGTCAATTGCATAAATAAATGAACAAGCAAACCATGTTAGCACCATGTTGTTCCTGCACTGATGGATGAAGAATTCTTAATACAAACAATTTGTAGCTCACCCAGCACTGCCTTATGTCCAACAATGAGCATTGGTATTTGGTTGTTAATAACAACCCGTGGTTACTAACCCACAAAGTAATGTGTACAGTATGAATGTGTACAGTGGTACACAGGGACGGGCAACATTGAATTTTATTTGTCAGCTATCGCAAATACGAATAAAATGATTAAACTAAAAAAAAAGGAATAATTTAGTTATTGTAATGAGCATTAAATACCACTTTCATGAACTTCGCTGTCACACTATAGCAATCAAAAAGACCAGACCCACAGTTTTGACCAGAATATTGTTACTTTCATCAGAATAGCACTATTTACCATTGGACTATAACTCCCATCAGCCCCAGCCAGCAGGGTAAAAAGTCAGGGACGGCAGCAGTTGTAGTTCAACACATTTGGAGGGCAGCCGCCCTGGGTATAGACAGAAAAGCATCTGTTCTATTCACCACACATCTGAATGCTAAAGAAAGTATCTTACCCTTTGCCCTCTTCCGAACATACCACCAGGAAGCCGCAATGGCAACAGCAAGGAAAATCAGAATGATGATTACCACAATGAGCCATTTCTTCCATGAAGCCAGAACAACTAAAAATTAAGGGAAAAGCAAATCATGTGTCAGGCATGGTACGGTATCACCACCATCACCTGCAACAACACCAATCCTTCACAAGAAGCAACAAATCTCTTCTGATGCTCAGGGATGCAATTCCACATCAGCATGAAAAATGTGTACAAATATTGCCACCCCCAAAATCATTCCTATTCTCAAGTTGCTTAAGTTCCAGGTGACCTGTTTACTGAGCATTCATCCTGTCACTTTCCCACTCCCCCAATCAGACTTTTTCAATAAGGAAAGTGACAGGAAGATGCACTGGAAATGTGGGATAAATATTTGCTTGACACAAATCCGTCAAACCTCCCTGAAAACAAATCAGGACAAATACTCAATGAACAGGCCACCTGGAACTTAAGCAACACTGATGTAGGGAGTAGTAATAATAATAATAAATAATAAATTTTATTTATATCCCGCCCTCCCCAGCCGAAGCTGGGCTCAGGGTGGCTAACAACAATAAAATAATACAACATTCTAAAATCATTTCATTAAAATTAATTCAACTCAAATTGATGGCAACCATTAGGCTAAAGTTCTGTGAAGATTGCCAAAGAAGGGAGTCAGGCTGTGCCCTGACCAAAGGCCTGGTGGAACTGCTCTGTCTTGCAGGCCCTGCGGAAAGATGTCAAGTCCCACAGGGCCCTAGTCTCTTGTGACAGAGCGTTCCACCAGATCAGAGCCACAGCGAAAAAAGCCCTGGCTCTAGTAATGTTGTCAAACCCCCCTATTTGACTTCCCTCATTCTAACATCAGGAAGAAGCAATATTCCACTGACATGACACGAGGGCGCTGACAATTCACCACTAGAAACCCCAAGGTACCCTTGCCGAACAACATTTCCGGGGTTTCCTAGAACGAAGAAACATCTGCTAAAACCCCTTTAAAGTTTACACTGCAGGTGTGCCTTGAAGAGGTTCATGTGCCTCATCCTCCTTGCTTCTGGCCACTTTTCTCTTTCCCCTTTATCCCAAGAATATCCTTGCAGAAAATGCAAATACAAATGAAGGAGGATTTGGGGCCCAAGACATTCTGTCACCACACATATTTACTGTCATGTACACAATTCTGGGGATGCGGGTGGCGCTGTGGGTTAAACCACAGAGTCTAGGACTTGCCGAGCAGAAGGTCGGCGGTTCAAATCCCTGCGAGGGGCTGAGCTCCTGTTGCTCGGCCCCTGCTCCTGCCCACCTAGCAGTTCAAAAGCACGTCAAAGTGCAAGTAGATCAATAGGTACCGCTCTGGCGGGAAGGTAAACGGCATTTCCGTGCACTGCTCTGGTTCTCCAGAAGCAGCTTAGTCATGCTGGCCACATGACCCGGAAGCTGTACTCCGGCTCCCTCGGCCAATAAAGCGAGATGAGTGCCGCAACCCCAGAGTCAGTCACGACTGGACCTAATGGTCAGGGGTCCCTTTACCTTTACCTTACACAATTCTGGAGACCCATGACCAGCAGTAACTGTCCAAACTGGGCTACTTTGGAATACACCTATTTGGAGCCTCCGGAAGTATGGGTAGCATTTGGATCAAAATGCATTAATATCCAAGGTGCTATTTAAATAATTTCATCATTTTGAATGCTATGGCACCATGTGTCCAAATAAATCAATCAATCAATCCATGAACAGAATGTACCGTTGACAGTCATCATGTTGCTCTCTACAGGTGATTTTGCTTGGTTGTCAGCTCTGCAAAAGTACTTCCCTCCATCTTGGCTTGTGAGGCTTTCTCTGTACCAAACAGCAATGCGTTTTGTCTTCTCTGTTACTTTATACAAAGGTTTGGGGTGGTTTTCTCTAAAGAAGGTGAACTCAATAGGATAAGATCCTGAACCAACAGAGCAGGAGATTGCGAGCTCTTTGCCATCTTCCACATCTCCATGTGAAGGTCTCCCCAAGTTTATGCTGCCAACCGGAGCTGTGGATTAAAGTACAGAGAAAAGGCTGAACAGCAGTGGAGAAGTGCTGGCTAGATGGCAAATTATAAATGCTGGAGGTAGGTTAAGTTAAGAGCAATTATACATAGAATTCATTTCTAACTAGCATTGGAGGAACCCCTGCCAATACAACCTAGTTATTTAGTACTTTTGTTTCCTTGTTTTTGAGTTCAAAGAAGTCACTGTTTAACATGGTTGCACTGAGTTACATCTTTCCAACAATTACACAAAATTAAAATTAAAAATAAAGCCATAATCAAGAGTCAGATAAGTGTTTCTGAATGTATTAAAAAGTTGTGTCGAAGTGTACATACCAAAGTTATTACAATTATTACAGATATGAAATGATGTATAGTAAAGTGTATTGCTTAGAAGAGTTAAAGCATTTAACATTCTAAAACAAAAACAATGTGTCCCTTTTAAAAAAGCACCAGACACTTACCTATCACTGTAATGTTTACCCGAGTGCTTCGTTGTGGAACGGAATGGCCGTTTTTAGCTTCACAACTGTAGTCTTCTGGAACATGTGCATTGGTTGCTTTGACCAAAAACTCTGCCGGTTCATTTACTTTTAGTTCTGTCTTGTTAACATATATGCCTCCTCTGTACAAAGTATATGTTATGGGCAGAGTTCCATTGCTGGAATAACAGTTTACAGTGAATGACTTCCCCAATACTGCTACTTGGGAAGTCGGTGGGGAAAGTCTTGGTTTGGAAACGGGAGCTGGAAAAAGAATTAAATAAAATAGGTGCATAAGCGGCTAGATGAATAATCCTGCTTAATTTCATAAGGTGAGCAATGAGAAATGCACAAAGCTGCCAGGAAACAATGCTCTGTGCACTCGAAGAACTCTAATCACACAGAGAGCAATTGAAATATATAAAAAAAAATTTAAAATTGTCTAGTAGCACCTTAGAGACCAAGGGAAATGCACTGTGCATGTTTTCAGGAACATTCCCTCTTTAAAATGCCTTCAAGAGGGAAAACCTCACAGGCCAATCTACCTCTGTGAAGGTCCGCCTCGTCTAGCGTCCATTAAGGCAAACGTCTGCAGCAAACCCAGAAGTACCGGAATGGGTTACTTCCAGGTTTGCTGCTCGTGCATGCGCAGAAGCGCAAACCGCTCCATGCGCATGCGCAGACACGGCACTTTGCCCTGTGTCCTTTTCAGCTAGCGGCCGGGGCTTCAGAACGGATCCCAGTCACAAAACAAGGTAAGACTATGCTAATAATAATAATAATAATAATAATAATAATTTATTATTTATACCCCGCCCATCTGGCTGAGTTTCCCCAGCTACCCAATCGAGTATTAAAAACAATACAGCATTAAATATTAAAAACTTCCCTAAACAGGGCTGCTTTCAGATGTCTTTTAAAAATAGGATAGTTGCTTATTTCCTTGACATCTGATGATACAGGAAATATGGCTCATTTTTTTGAAAACAACTCCCGAGGCTAAACCCTGATAAAGCACACTACTCTTCCAGCTCTCATTTGTAGAGGTGATTATGATGAATAATATCAGCACAGTATTATTAGGACTGATGCAGGCTGAATGCCACCTGAGATAGAGCTGATGATGTCAGAAGAAACCCAAGGGATCTCAGGTCTTTGTGCTGTTCCTAGCATGGCTGGCCCTCAACAGGAATGTAGGCTGCAGTGGGTTTTGGTGTTCACTCTCAAGCCATACACAGTTCATTGAAAGAAACTACCGGTAATCTTAACCCACCTGTGAGCAGTAAAGGGGAGTTGGGTTCCTGTACCATTAACAACCCCTCTTTTCCTTTTTCAGATTGTAAGCCTAATTCTTATTGCTCTTTGTGAGTTGCTGTGGGAGCCTATTTGACTGAAGAGCACTGTAAAAATGTGGACATGCAGCCTCCACAGCCCACATCTCCTCTGAAACCCTGAGAAGGCACCTCTGCCACCACATGCTGATGATTGGTCCACAGAGAGAGACCAACAGCTTGAAACCCCAGGGCCTAGAAGCAGCTAACAGCTGCAGAGAAAGCACCAGTCTTGCATGGGGCCGGATGCAGTTTTCAAGAGGTGGGGCCTTGAGTACCTGAACACCTAGCCCAGGCTGTAATGATCCAGGACATTGGCTTGAAACCGTCTATCAAAAACTATCAAAAACTTCACTCTCGTGGCCTATCCCCACAACACCTAGTCACTATGGGCCCTACTAAAGCAAACAGTCTAATTGGTCAACGTCTAAAAGATATCAGAACAACCTGGCCACTACAGTGGTACCTCGGGTTACATACGCTTCAGGTTACAGACTCCGCTAACCCAGAAATAGTGCTTCAGGTTAAGAATTTTGCTTCAGGATGAGAACAGAAATCGTGCTCCGGCGGAGCGGCAGCAGCAGGAAGCCCCATTAGCTAAAGTGGTGCTTCAGGTTAAGAACAGTTTCAGGTTAAGAACGGACCTCCGGAATGAATTAAGTACTTAACCCAAGGTACCACTGTATAAGGAAATTCTGTCCTTGGTATGTTCATTTTCCACCTCTCCATTTTGATTCTCTGGCCCCATATCTGCACAAACTTATTATCCCAAAATACAGACGTGCTTTTACACTTGCAAGACTGGATGTTTTGCCATCTGCAGTACTTGAGGGTCGATTCCAAAAGATCCCGCCTGAGAAACGTCTTTGCCCCTGTGGAGACGGTAGCATCGAAACAGTGGCACACGTCCTCCTGTCTTGCATTCTCTACAAAGACCTGAGGAATGAGATCATCACCCCACTCGTACTAACCATCCCATGGCGCTTAACCACTGCCACAATGTCCTTTCTTCTATCAGATCAAAATGAGCAGATAACAGCAACGGTTGCTAGGTTCATAGCAGGGGCAGTCAGAATAAGGGCCATAAACTGACTGCTGATTCAGGACTTTAAATTGTGCTCTTATATCAAATTTCTCTTTCTGCATATATTGTAATGTTTTATTGTTGCTATGGCCATTGGCTAATACGAATGAAGTTTTATCTATCTATCCAGGGCATTGCTGAGACTGAGACGACTTGTGTGGCCTGTCCTAGCTGCAGGATCGCTAGCTGTGCTCCTTGAAACCCATACTTAGACCCCTCTCCATGTTGCTGATGCTGCTTTACCTTGCCTTCTTGTCTGAGTAGGGCTACTGATCTCCCTTTTGCTGGGGCCATCACCTATCCTAATTAGTGAGCATACCCAGGAAAGCCGCCATTCTGCAAATAATTCTACTATATCGCTTCATCAGATGAAAGACTTTCATATTTCTCAATCAACTTACCATAAACATGTAGCCGCGCAGGGGCACTCTCCTTGGCAATCTCATTTATCTCAGCTCGACAAACATAGACTCCAGTGTCGCTTACACGGACCTTGGTAACAGTATAGACATCTCTGCTTGCCACTACTCTGTCGTCTTTTATGACTGAGAAATGTATTGGCAGTGAGCTGTTAACTCGACATTCAATTTGTAACAAACTGTTTTCATCCCATCTTGTTTGATTATGAACTAGAATCGGCTTGGAAAACAGTTCTGCAAAAGATATGTGGGGAACAAACAAGTTATCTATCTAGTGCCTTCCTACGTGATCCATTTATAATATAACAAATAGGCAATCGTTCAATATTGGTGGGGGACCTCAGAGGTCTATATAGTCCCAGGCACCTAAAAAAAGCCAAGCCTGAGACTCAGACCATGAGATTTCCAGTTCAAGGTCTGGAATTCCTTACATGTGTTAAGATAAAAGTAAAAAGGTAAAGGGACCCCTGACCATTAGGTCCAGTCATGACCGACTCTGGGGTTGCAGCGCTCATCTCACTTTATTGGCCGAGGGAGCCAGCATACAGCTTCCAGGTCATGTGGCCAGCATGACTAAGCCACTTCTGGAGAACCAGAGCAGCGCACGGAAACGCCGTTTACCTTCCCGCCAGAGCGGTACCTATTTATCTACTTGCACTTTGACATGCTTTCAACCTGCTAGGTTGGCAGGAGTAGGGACCAAGCAACAGGAGCTCACCCCGTCGCGGGGATTTGAACCGCCGACCTTCTGATCAGCAAGTCCTAGGTTCTGTGGTTTAACCCACAGCGCCACCTGCGTCCCATAAGATAAAAGTACCCTCTACTTATTGAATACACATGGTATAAACTCAGACTGATCTTGCTTGTATGAAAGTGCCATGTTACATTGCAACGCATCACTAATTGACAAGTGTTTCAACAAGTTATACGAAAAATGCTGTTTAATGTCACACAGCTCAGTAATGTCACAAATCATGCACAGTATGAACATTCACTTCACAGCTTTTCCTGCCCCTTCCATTTCTAATTTTCAGGAGATGCCATGCCATGCTGTGTGTAGTCAAGATGATTAATTTTTGCTCTTTTATTACAAATGGACCTGTTCATTCACCTACTCATTTGTTTAGATGACTGTAAAAGTTTGGGTTTTAGTTTGTTAGTTTTTCAGTTCAGCGTTTACATTTTTTTGTCTTTACACTAAGGCACCAAGTACATAATGCATCCTTGCAAAACACAGTTGTTTCTAAAACTCTAAAGCATGGGTAGACAAACTAAGGCACGGGGGCCAGATCCGGCCCGATCACCTTCTAAATCCAGCCCGTGGACAGTCCGAGAATCAGCGTGTTTTTACATGAGTAGAATGTGCCCTTTTATTTAAAATGCATCTCTAGGTTATTTGTGGGGCCTGCCTGGTGTTTTTACAAGAGTAGAAGGTGTGCTTTTATTTAAAATGCATCTCTGGATTATTTGTTGGGCATAGGAATTCGTTCATTTTCCCCCAAAAAAATATAGTCTGGCCCCCCACAAGGTCTGAGGGACAGTGGACTGGCCCACGGCTGAAAAAGTTTGCTGACCCCTGCTCTAAAGACATACATCAGCAGCTATAATTGAACAGTAATAGCGCATCAGACATTAAACGTGATTGAAATTCTCCCCTTGCAGCGTGGCAAGGCCTGAATCAAATTAGAAGCAGGCCTGACTACATTGCAATTACTCGTAGGTGTGTAACTTATGTGAGATTTCTAAAAAGCACTCTTGGGTCTATTGCTTTATTTGAAATAGTCCCTAAACTAGTTGCGTTGTCTGCTAAACCCTTGGGGGGGAAAGTCTTCAGACTTCAGCTGGATAAACAGAACTGATTTATTAGTGGAGATTATACATAACCTTTGGGTTGAACCGCATTGCCTGCACATGGCTGCAGCTTGCCTTAAGGCCAGATTACACATTACACACAAGTACATGGAACTGTGCGATCGGCTACTACCCTTTCCCCCAATTGCAATCGAAATACCACAGGAGGGAAGCCACAAGGAAGGTACGACAATTTGGAGTGTGCAAATAGGGGTGGGGTGGGGGAGGACGATGCACCTACCGTATTGGCCTGAATATAAGCCGCACCCGAATATAAGTCGCACCTTTAAAATTCAAGGGGGGAAAAGAAAAGAAAAAAAAATACCTGAATATAAGCTGCTCCCTTAAAATTCCGCAGGCACTCACACCCGTTCCATTTTACCGTATGTCTGTTTCAGCAGCGATATCATAAAAGCCAATTTTGGTAAGGTTGTGAATTTAAGCTGCACTTTAACTTTTCAAAGTCAGAAATTTTTTGGGGGAGGGGAGGGAGGCTTATATTCAGGCCAATATGGTATTCCCCTATACTGCTGCCCCTCTCTCAATCACCTTCATCCAAAGCAACTGCGACCAGAACTTTCATCTTTCTGTTTATAAATCTAGATCTTTAGCTATTCCAACCCTGGATACTCATACAAGTCCAGACCTAGTACAAATAAAAGCATGTGTGTGAATTCGCACAAGAGAGAGAAAGCTCTTACCTGCCACCACAACATTTACTGTGCTGATTTTGGACACGCTCCCAAGTTCCACTTTACACATATAATTGCCATTGTCTTCCATTGTGGCTACTTTAGAGTACTGCACAGACGGACCAGACTTTGTGCTGTTAAGAATCGTTTTGTTCTTCTGGATTATCATCTCAATTTTGATTCGATCCTGGTGACGTGCGATGGTTGTACAGTCTACACGCAGGTGATCTCCTTCTGTAATGTTCTGTGGTGGGTGGACGGTTAAGGTGGGAACGGAAAACGGTTCTGCAACAGAAGGGGGGGGCGGAACCAATATATATATTTAAACCAAGCCTAAATAAAACAACATGTGCACAGATGGTATAAGATTTACTTTTGGTAGTTTGCCATTCATTCCTACACCTGCTTTTGACTAGAAATCCTTTTACACATGCAGGAGTAATTATTTAAATATTTAGGTATGACAATAAAGGTTAAAAACTGACCAACTTACCAATGACAGTTACAATTCTTTTGTCACTGCGCTCTGATTTCTCAGATCGAGCCCCCAAAGTCTTATGGACCTCACATTCAAAAAACAAAATGGTGTCCCCCGCGTTAATTTGATATTCCAGTTTGGCAAAGTTTTCTGTAATTGCATGCCTCTCCCACTGCTGTTCAGGGTCACGCTGGTGGTTTTTATAAAATTTCAAATAAAATGGGGCCTTTTCTTCTGGTGCTTTACAACTTAAAGACACAGTTTCGCCTTCCATCACCTCTGTTTTCTCGGCAGTCAGAATGGGCTTCCTTATTCCTTTTGAAACAAAAACAAACATGAGATGTGCATCAGAACATGCTTATCTGAGGTGGAAACTAGGTGTTACTTTAAATACCCCTTGGATGGGATTGCTGGTGCCTTTTTTCTTTATCTTTTACAGAGAAAGCAGGTGCACTGTCGGAGGAAGAGGCGTGCCGGGGGAGCGCACCGCCCCCGGCAGCGCGATCCCATCGGGGTGCCATCGCGGCTGCCCCCCGCCCACGCTGGGCGCCACACCCCTATGGGTGGCACATCATGCCCCCAGGACGCATGCCATGTCCCTACAGGCAGTGCGCCATGCCCCCGGATGCGCGCTAGCCCCACCTGCTCTTCACCCCCCGGTGCCGGAGCATGAAGCTCCTCCACTGAGCAGGTGCAGGCACATGGATCTAGATCTCTCCCCATCCCAGTTTCTCACCAAAAAACAGAACTCTCAGCGCAAAGAGCAGCTGGGGGAGATTTTTTTTTTTCTTCCAGAAAAGCCTACAAAAATTTTTGGAGTGGGCAACATTGATGTTTCATAATCAAAACACACAGGTAATCCCAAGTAAAGGGTTTGCCTACATGTTTAAAACAGTGCCTCCTGATCATTTTGAAGCGGAACCCTCCTGTAACTCAGTCTTTTGGGATCCACTTGCAAATGAATTCTACCTTTCAAGCCCTACTTTCCCCCTTTACAGCAGAAAACACAAGACTATCCAGTCAGTTGTAGGACTAGACAAGTTTCTCTTTTATTTTCCATTTTTCATATTAATCTAAGTAAAGATAACACAGCATGTACTGAGTAGAATTTAAGCATGACATATAATAAGGGAGGGAGCAAGCAAGCCTGTCTCATAAAGGGGTTGCTCAGCAGTACTGTTGTGCTATAAATCTGGTGAAATCGACAAAGAGACAAAAACACTGGATACAATATAGGGGCCTGATCAGATGTTGCTTCCCCTTATCTGAATAAGACCCTTAAAAGGTGAGTTTATGTAGACATAAACTGAAAATAGAGTTATTAGTGCATCTGGGAAGACACAGTCAGAAGGTAAGCATTTTTCCCCTGGATCATATTTGTAAATTGAAGAAGGATGGCAGATGATGACTGGAGACAGGGCCTTTTCTGTGATGTCCCAAGTCTTTAATTTTTTCTAGCAAAATTAATATGCTGCTTGATTGGAATAAAACCTCAGTTTACAAAAAAAGTAATACATTAAAATTATTGATTAAAGACAATTAAAAACAGGCATTCAAAAACATTCCAAACTAATTAATAAGCTAAAAACAGATTTAGACGAATCTAAATTGAAATGTCTGGATAGGTTTACCACTTGGCCAAACACAAATATTTTAAGCAGGAAAGAGAAAGAGTAGTGAAGGCATGTGACTGGTTTCAATAGGTGGGGAGTTCCAAAGTGTAAGTGCTGCCACACCCAAATACTGATTTCTTACAAGTGTGGAATGAGCATTATGTGGCACATGTAACAGTGCCAGTTCCACAGATCAAAGTGGTCGGGTGGTCATATATGGGGTAAGGTGATGCCAGAGATACTCATTTGGTGCCTACAGGGCCAACTCAAAACATTTTGGCACCTGGGGCAAACCACAAAATCGCACCCTGCTCCCTGCCAGGGAAGAAGGGGTGAGTGAAGATCTACAAGGCAGAGAATAAAGATCAACATCATATGTTGCCCCTGTGGATCCTGCCACCCTAAGCTGTCACCTCACTGTGACTCATAGCCAGCCCTGGATGACTAGGTTTTAGGCACTGAATCAAAACATTTTTTATTTTCCCAACCTTTTAATGAGTGACATAATCTCTACTTATTTATAGCTGCTGCTACTATTGTTTTATTGATAGTATTCAATCGTATTGACTTTTCTTTGTTGTGATTTTATTTGTAATTACAGTGGTACCTCGGGTTACATACACATCAGGCTACATACGTTTCAGGTTACAGACTCCGCTAACCCAGAAATAGTACCTCGGGTTAAGATCTTTGCTTCAGGATGAGAACAGAAATTGTGCGGCGGCGGCGAGAGGCCCCATTAGCTAAAGTGGTACCTCAGGTTAAGAACAGTTTCAGGTTAAGAACAGACCTCCAGAACGAATTAAGTTCGTAACCTGAGGTACCACTGTACTGATTATGCTTTTATTGTTGGAAGGTCCCTTGATGGGGGGAAAACTTAATACTGAAAGGCAAATAAGAAATACTTTAAACGAGAAGTGGGGAACCAGTGTGGTCCTCCATATGCTGTGGAACTTCAACTCCCATCAGCCCTAGTCAGCATGGCCAATGGTCAAGGAGGATGGTAGTTGTAGTCCTACAACATCTGGAGGGCCATATGTGTAAACAAAAGCAAAAAAGCAAAGAAGGGAGGAAAGGGGGAAATAGCAAAGTTGTTGAGAGAGCAGGGGGAGAGATAGATTGAGAGCAAGGTAGAAATTAGGGGGGGTGAAACCCAGTTATAAACTGAATTTTAAGCAGTGACAGGACATCCAGAAAGAAACTGCAGGAAGATGTGAAGAAACGATGGTGAGAAATTGAGAGAAAATAACAGAAGAAGCAGGGGTGGGGGAGCTGAAGGTCAGCTGAGCAAAAATGATATTAATGCTAAGAGACGATATAATGAAACTAAACAGAAAAAGAGTAGAGGACCAAGGAGATAATTGGGAAGGACACCAACAGAGAAATCAAAAGAAAGAGTGTCAGTGGTAGAGGGAATGATTACACAAAGGTAGATTGAGAATGTAGTGGTCAATATTTCATATGCATTAACCAGGTTTGGCCAACATGTGGTCCTCTAGAACTGGTTGAACTACAGCTCCCATCATTCCTGGCCATTGGTCATTCTGGCTGGGGTTGATTGTCCAGGACCACAGATCAGCTACTTCTGATATAAGCAATGGTGCTATTTTAGCATACAGTCATATTAGAGAAAACATAGGGAGGATGAATACGAAGCACTCACCATGTACTTGAACAGCCACAGTACCACTGGCCTTTTTCTTCCCTTCCACATCCAACGCACAGCTATACTCTCCAGAATCAGAAAATCTAGCCGTTGGGATTGTATAATCTGCCCACTCTTGCTCTGATGAACTATTGACCAGAAGCAGTCCATACTTGATAAATGAAAAAGTATAATTCATCTGGAATTGTTCGCTCTTGCTGATGTCCGCAGAGCAGTTGAGGGTGACCGACTCTCCATTATTCACTTCCACAGATGGAGCAACACGGAGTGTCACGCTATTGATGGTGAACACTGGAAAGGAGGAGAAATGTTAGTGACAATTTATAATCCACTGGCAGAGAGGAGGAGGAGGAGGAATGCCTCTTCTAAGATGGTGCCTTTTGCCAGGGCTCTTGTAAATACAGTTAGTCTTGTGACTAATTTGGGTCCATTAACTTCAGTGGGTCCACGCTGAGTGAGAAGAGCACTGGGTGCAACCTTCAGGCGCCTCACCATCCTTGTGACTTTCCTCTAGGTACATTCTAGTTTGCCAATATCCTTCTAAACTGTGGGGCCGTCCACAATGGGACATAGTAAAGGTAAAGGTAAAGGGACCCCTGACCATTAGGTCCAGTCGTGGCCGACTCTGGAGTTGCGGCGCTCATCTCGCTTTATTGGCTGAGGGAGCCGGCGTACAGCTTCCGGGTCATGTGGCCAGCATGACTAAGCCGCTTCTAGCGAACCAGAGCCGTGCACAGAAACGCCGTTTACCTTCCTGCTGGAGCGGTACCTATTTATCTACTTTCATTTTGATGTGCTTTCAAACTGCTAGGTGGGCAGGAGCAGGGACTGAGCAACAGGAGCTCACCCCGTCGTGGGGATTTGAACCACTGACCTTCTGATCGGCAAGTCCTAGACTCTGTGGTTTAACCCACAGCACCACCCGCACCACCACAGCACCATGGGACACAGTACTCCCAAGTAAAGAGTCACCAGACAGATGTTTTAGAGGGGGTGCTTTCCTCATCCAGTCAAAAGTACGACACCTTCTTCCATCCCAACAGAAGCAGTGGGTGGAACTGGAGAATTATAGGTGTCAAAAGCTCCCTTCCCCCCTCTCAGGCTGCCCCAGGTGCCAAGTTATTTCGCTATCTTTATGGAGTCCATGATGGCTAAAGGAGAAACAAAGCATGCGATTGGTTGGTACACATACCCTCTATGCAGGAGCAGAAAGCAGGATAAGGAGTTAAGTAATAACAATAACAATAAATGTATTGTATCCCACCCATCTGACTGGGTTGCTTCAGTCAGTATAAAGCAGGCATAGGCAAACTTGGCCCTCCAGAAGTTTTGGGACTACAACTCCCATGATCCCTAGCTAACAGGACCAGTGGTCAGGGATGATGGGAATTGTAGTCACAAAACATCTGGAGGGCCGAGTTTGCCTATGCCTGGTATAAAGTACAAAGTATAAAGGAACACATCCAAACAGAAAACATGATTCAAAATCCAAAACTGGGCTGCCTTCAGATGTCTGCGAAAAGTTATAAGATTGTTAGTCTTTTTGACAATAATAAATATCACTGACTTATAGAGTAGCCTTGATGATGAAGAAGATGATGGTGAAAGTTTAGGAGAAGCACTGCAGGGTTTCCTTCCCTTTCAGTGAGAGCACATTTTGCAGTACTTATTAAAAACACAAGAAGAAACCCCATCAGTGTTGGCAGTCTGCCGGCTCCTGAAAATACCCCAGTTCAAGCATTCCCGTAACTGAATTTTTGATGTTATTGTTTTAACTGTTGTTGTTGTTTTTTAAAAAAAACCTGTTATGTTTTCATTGTCATGCTTTTTAAATTTTTGCTTTATTTTATATTTTAGTTAACGGCGTTTTAGCACCCAATGGAACTGTTATTGTGTATTTCCTTTTTTAATTTTAATATTAAAAATATTGATTTATTGCATTTTCATTATGTTTCATTGAGTTTGCAGTTGGAAGCCATTTTGGCATATCAGTGATAATTTAACAAATAAAGCACAAATCTACACCAGTGCACAATGGAAACAAATGGACTCCTGATCCTGAACACGGCTGATCCTGCATCTGATTTTTGCAACGGTCATGTGGATTCCTGTATCCCAGTGCTTCCTGACACTATTTTGCTTTCTCTCCCGATACCTGAAAGGCCTCACCTTCCAAAGACAGGTAGCAGTTTTTTTGGCGAGAGTTTATCCCAGCTTCAGTGCTGCTCAGGTACGCTACCTTTTCGCAATTTATTGATCAAAGAAATTTATTTATTCCAGATTCACCATTTCTCCAAAGCCTTTTTAGTTATCAGATTTTCCATGGAAATTGTAAATAATATGGGAAAGCATTTTGATGAGAATGATGTTTTGTGATGCTGCACAAAATGTGAAAGCACAAGCAGCACTGAGTTCACAATAAACTGCCATGCAGGAGTGATCAGCAACTGAACTTTGTAAAACAGGGTTGGATGAGCTAAGATACTCCATAGTAGATGCACATAAATTGTGCCGTAAGTCTCACTATGTTCAGTGGGACTTATTTCATAGTAAGGGTATTTAGGATTGCAGCCTAAAACTGGTATAAAATTTCATTCTTAATCAACAGATTATCTAGTGGCTGCAGCAGGTCCACAAAATGATACATTTCCTCTCTGAGGCTGTGATCTGCCTGATAATAGCTTGCTTCCCTTATCTACAAAATTAAGGCTCTGCCTCAGAGTCCTTTGTCTCAGAGCCTTCCCCCCTATGCACATAGCAAACTCCTTGCGAACTCACAGCACTGTATAATGTAAAGTGCTGCTGACTTTTGTGATGAAACCTCTGGCAGCAATTCGCTGAGCTATTATAATGTCATTTATTCTATGAACTAAGTTGTATAATGTTTGGTTTTGACTTCTTTAAGGGAAAGTTGTTAGTTTGCCTGGAACTCAAAACTCGTATTTATTTTTCTATTAAATTTATATGCCACCCTTCCTCCCAAAGGAGCCCGGCCTGCCATCAAACAAGAAGGGATAAAACAATTTAAAAAGCTATTTAAAACACATATAGGGCCTAGGAACGGTGAGGAAATATGGATGGGCTGAGGGCTTGGAAGCTAAGGAGGAAGTACTCCAGGAATGTAAGGAAGATTAGAAGTGGAGACAGAATGGATAAAGGAAGGCAGTGCTGGAGTAGGCAGTGCTGTAAGCTGAAGCCACCTTAGGGAAGGCTAATTGCAAGGCAAAAATCTGAGTAAAACAAGAGCAGAGAAGATAAGTAGTTGAGGCAGTGCTGTAGTTATTGAGGGTGGGTAGCTGGGATTTTTGCCCCAGATGAAGCCTCCAGAAGGGTGCCATTGAGGCTCCTAGCCCCCCTCTCTCTGTGTGTGTACGCAAATGGGTGTAGGTGTGCCAAACTGGGTCTTTGACCCGGGTGAAATAAAGCCTAGTTTTGCCCATAGTTGAGGAAAGGAAGACCTAGTGAAGAGGGTGGTTGAGAATTTTGCTACTACTTGGCAGAGATTGGGAGTGTAGAATTGCAGAGTTGGAAGGGACCACAAGGATCACCTTTGTCCAGCCCCCTGCAATGCAGGGATCTTTTTGGCCCAACACGGGGCTCAAAACCACAACCCTGAAATTAAGAGTCTCATGCTCTGCTGACTGAGCAATGCACAACTTTTGTAACAGTATAAATCGGGTGTGGGGGAACCTACATTTTAGAGCAAAAAGGGTAGGTAGGTGGGATGTGTGATAAAACTCTGGTTTACTTCCCCAAAGCATTTCCCGGTTGTCACATTTCCAACTAGGCTCTCATCCACACAGTGAACCCAGCTGAGAAAAAACATGCTTTGGTATGTGTGTGTAGGGGGAGCGGGTTGCAGTTCCATCAAAATCAGCAGTAGGCACAACGATGATTTAGCTCTTCTCTAAAAACCCGAATCCTCCTTCTTTCTATGTCATTGAGCCTGGCCAAGTTTAAATGAACAGGCTGGCTGCTGTTACATGTCATTTCAGTCTTCATTTCAGAGGGCAAAAGTTATCAATGACTGCTGAAATTTATTTTGAATATCTAAATTGAAAAAAATTAGTAGAATTTGCCAAGTAGAAGCAAAATCCAAGGGGTTCCAGGAGCTCACCCACGGTTGTGTTTGCATTGGGAAAATTGAGGCACAGCAGAGGTTAGCGTCTTTAAGAACTATGGTTTATTTTACACATATTTACACCTAAAGTCCTCATAGGAGGGAGTGCAGAACATTATACCCCAAGGATGTATCTCATTGCCCCTTTCATAAATTGAAAATTGTCTAAACTGCACCTTTTGTACACCAACTGCAAGCTGGTGAACAAAAAAAACCCTAATATCAATACAACATTTAAAAAAATCAAAACACCACAATAAAACCATAGAAACAACAACAACTGATCTAGCCAGCTAAGGCTATATGTTACATTTTTTAAGTCTGGGCAAATAAAAGCATCTTAATCTGGTGCCAAAATAATGCAGTGTCCGTGTCCGTCTTACTCCCTTTGAAATATATTATCATTGTTAGCAGCCCAAATACTTACAAGGTTTAACTTCAATGTACTGTGATAAAACTGAAAGGGGACCCACTGAACTGATGGTAAACTGAATAGGCTAGGAGCTGCTGTTTTATTGTGTATGCTTGTATTTTAATAACTAGCATGGTTCTCTGTTATTTTGCGTGTCGTTGTGATAACCTTTGGAACAAGACATAATGTTGATGGTGCCATTGTAGGCAATGCCTTAAATCAGGCCCACATCCCATAGGCCCATCCTTCCTGACTTCCAGCGGCCTGCTGGTGGAATTCTAAATGACTTGTGATTCTTTTCACTTCCTTGCAGGTGACCCTGTGTTTTAGCACTTGACCAGCAAAATGAGTAGGCACACAGGTCACCTGGTCACAGTCTTCCCAACTATGGTGAGAAGTGCTGAAATCCTATTTAAATGTCTAAATCTATTGCATTTATACAAATGATTCTATGCATACTTTATGTAAATCTGCGCCCTCCTTTTGCCTCTTCTTTGGGTGACCTGTTTCCTCTTTTTATTGTGATGAGGTGAAAATGGCTACCCTATACGGCTCTCCATGGCCAACCAAACATGGAGGAGGAAGGAAAGAATTGCTGCGTTACATCATCTGCATTGCTCCCCTTCTCTTTAGATTCACAGTGGTACCTCAGGTTAAGTACTTAATTCGTTCCGGAGGTCCGTACTTAACCTGAAACTGTTCTTAACCTGAAGCACCACTTTAGCTAATGGGGCCTCCTGCTGCCACCGCACCACCGGAGCACAATTTCTGTTCTCATCCTGAAGCAAAGTTCTTAACCTGAAGCACTATTTCTGGGTTAGCGGAGTCTGTAACCTGAAGCGTATGTAACCTGAAGCGTATGTAACCCGAGGTACCACTGTACGGTGATGTTGGCCACTGGTGGCATCATTTGCAACCTGCTGCAAACAGCCAACTGGCACCAGTATTTGAACTGTTGGGAGTATTCATGTTTTGGAGTTACTCCTTCTGAACTCAGCAAGGAGAATTGGTGGGGTGGGGAGTGAGGACAAAAAAAGTAAAGGGGAACTGGCACATGGCTCGGAAAGTCCTTCAGGTGGTGAAAAAGAGAAAAGGGGAGTAGCTGAAAGATGGGGTGCGGACCTGTGGTGATGTGCACTGGATAATGAAAGTTTGAATGTGTACTGGGGAGAGAAGGATGGGGAGAGTTCAAAGAGAGGAGGTAAAAGATAAGAGTATGATACAGCAGAGAGAGAGAGATGATTTATGGGGAACAGGTTAAGGAGAGAACACAGCAGGGAGTTTTTTGAACTATAAAAAAATGGTACCCCTTATTTAGTTTGTGGTTGCAGGTTTGGAGAATGCTGTCGCAGCACCAACATTGAGGTAAGATTCAGCTTCTGCTACTAACAATTTCTGTATGTGGGGTGGGGTGGAGGGGCACAGCGTTTTGTCCTTAGGCTGAAGTAGGAACCTATCTTTGGCCAGCCTTGGGTATACGGCTAAAGTTCCCCTTCAATGAAGTATTACGATTCAGGCTGATAATTACACCAACCATTTTGGATTATCACATGTGACCTCAGTCAGCAGATATCACATACCCATAAACTAGATAGGTAGAACAAGGCATATATACCGTAATTCTACGCGTCCTGTCAAAAAATTCATAGAACTCATTTGAACTTCTACCGGAACAAAGTTCTTCTGTTACATACATACAAATCTAGAGCTACCAATGTTTATCTACTTAACCCCAATAACCCCATAAGTCTTTAGACTGCAAAAAACATACAATTTAAAAAGTTGGAGACTTACCATTACTTTGAGCTTTCAGCGTGCAGCCTGGAAAAGCAAAAGGAACATTGTAAAAAAAAAGTATAAAAGTAAGGGTTTTGTTTTGCTTTTTTACAAAAAATTGAGATGCTCAGCCCTTAACTTACAGTGCAAGAAGGTTAGCAGCAAAACACAATACATCTCGTCATCGGAAAGCAGACATGAGACTCCAAAATGAAGAAATTGTCATTAGTTCTGGTAGCTCCCTCCTTCAAGGACCTTCAGTTATGAAGAACTTTCAGTTTATTTTCTGAAAGTAAAAGGTCTGGCAGTGCAGTTTCACTGTAGAAGTGAGCAGCTATGTTTTCCAGGACCCTAACACCAACTGGCTAGATATTGGTCAAGTAATCATTCCCATTACTGGAAACTGGAAGTGGCAAACAATGAGGATCTCTCTGCTGCAAACAGGCAGATTACTGCTCAGGAAATGACAGGCCTTTTCCTGAGGGAGTCAGTGAACGCATTTGCTTTGTTCAGTTTCTTAAGGTATATGGAAAACAAGAAGTACCAGTGACATTTTTCCGGTGACTCTGTTCATTAGTTTACAATCACTCTTCAACTGTTTAAAGTTAGCAATGTTCTTTTTATTTCATTTCATTTCCCAAGGAATAATACACTGGATACGTTTAAACTCATGTTATATATACAGTATTGTATAAAGTTTCCTTAGAAGTTACATATAGCTCAGCCATATATGCTGTTTTTGAAGCCAGTTGTTACATGAAACGGGGTGGAACTTTATAGGGAGCAATAACCAAGAAGGCTTTCAGCAGTGATGCTCTTTGCTCTAACTTTTTGAAATTAAATCATGAAGATGTGCAATGTGTTGTTGTTTTTTTAGTGTGAATGCGTACAAATTGAAAGGAACACCAGCAATTTGCTATGTCCTAGACTAAAAGAAGAGTGCATAGGGTTTCAAAAATGTTAAGCTTAGCAAGTGGAAACCCCAGTATCTTTTGTTTCCCTCCACACTCTCTCCCACACCCAGCATATGGCCTGGATCAAGACATGTTTGTTTTAGCTGAAGTCAATTTTTCCACAGGCTCTGCTAATCGGAGTTTGTGTACTATCACTCCCCGGTTACTTCACAACCGTTTGCAACGTCTGCGTGCAAAGTTTATATACAGCCTCTTCAAATTCATGACATGTCTCCAAAATCTACTCTATTTGAATGAAACTAAGACACAAAAAAAGACAGAAGGCGAAGAGGAGATAAAAATAAGAGATCACACATAAGAGATATGTGTTTTATTTTATGGGTCAGTGGGATAAATCCTTAAAACTACAGAACGGGTGGGATGGTAAAGAAATCAATATTTTTAAAAGCAACATTGGTCTCCTGTGCTCTCAAAAACAAAGCAAACCGAAAAAGTGCTACTGTGATAGGAATTTTGAGGTCTTAGATATATGGTAATGTTCATAAGCGTACTAAACCAAGCATGTACATAGATCAGCACAGGAAGACTGACCTGGAACCATTTTGATTCCTAAACTGAGCAAATGTTTTCTCTGCAAGGTCAAAGTGGGAAACCTCCCATTGTCTCTTTCCTCACAAATCCTGTCTTAAGGGCACATTTAAGATATGAATAGGGTGTCAGCCTGTGACATGGCCCAGGAACTAAGTATTTATCATTACAAAAGATTGGCCAGGCTACCTAGGCAATCCAATCAAGTAACCTGCCAGACAGAAGATAAACGACAGGAGAAAAACAACATTCAAATTTCTGTTTTAAGACCGCCTTTTCTGTGATGTAGGTATGATGTATCTGAGGGGTGGTCTTAGGTTACACCCCTTCTGTGATGTATGTGTGATGTTTCTGGGGGTGGTCTTGATCTACAGGGTGGCAATTTCAAAAGTCTTTATAAGACCTTGCGCGCCATTGTTCTGGGTTCCTCCTCCTCTCCTACGGATGAGGGGAGCACCCTGTTGCAACAGAACCATAAAGATCAAGCTTTGCTTCTCAATATTCTCTGGTTGGCCTCTGTTATTCTCTCCTACCAATAGGGAACCTATGTAAGGACTCTATATGGGCATCTTACCACTTGGGGAAGTGCAAAACAGTATTTGCGCCTAGTTTGCACCCAGCTTTAAACATATGTAAGAGTTTGGATCCTCTCTCCTCCTGATTGTGCTGGGTCAGGGAAAAACCAAGCCTGACTCTAACTTATTTTCTGATAAGTGAACTCAGGCTCATACTTCATTTCTCTCCAAACAAACCACAAGTAGAAGCCTAGCTACATTCTTGACTTACCCTTCATGGTTCACTTGGAGGAAACTAACCAAGAATTCGGGCTCCCATGTCACAGCAAGCCAGAATTATAGACATAGAATTGCTTTTGCAGAAGAACCTGGTGGTGGCATGTGTGTTTCAATTTTTTTGATATATATTCACAGTGGTTAGGTTAGGATAAAAATACAAATGCCTAAATGCATACAATTCACGAAATCCAGAAGGCCTCTAGATACCTGTTCGACCCACCCTACAAAAATACTCCTGCCTCTTGGTTCAATAGAAGGTGGTTAATAAGTAAACTTTGGAGAAAGAGAAAAGAATGGGCTGCAAACTCAAAAGGCACCCCATTAAGAGTTGAAAAATCAATATAGTTTTAAGCTGTAATGTACATTAGCCCTTGGCAGTATAAATCAAGGAAGTCTCACAAAGCATGGCCTTTGTTCTCATAGCCTTCCGTGTTTACATAAAGCGTCCTTTGTTTCTCTTGTGCTGAGTGGGAAGTGTTCTTCCCAAATCCATAAGTTCAGGTGTAATCTGTGCTAGAGTCTTTCTGTTACACACATTTCTGTGGCATTTTGCAACAGGAAGCAGGAAGGAAATATTATGGGTAACAAGGTCTAGCAAAGTACCCTAGTCACAATTTTACAATAAAAAAATAACACAGTAGCCATAGCAATAAACGACCAGGAAGCAACTTTTGGAGGCTTGTTAGCATGATGTTTGTTCCTTATCCTGATTTTCTTTAAATATAGTTATCACACAACTCTGAAACACTGGCCACATGCCATTCTACCTCTACACAGTGAGGCAGAAGTAAAGGAGCAGACACAGACCACCCCCACTCAGGGACAGAGGGAGAGAGCACCATACAGTGGTTAGAGCAGGGGTAGCCAACATGGTGTTTTCCAGAGGCTGCTGGACTCCAAATCCCATTATCCACAACTGGCATAGGGCTTATGCACACTTACCTTTCCCTCCACGCTTTCCAAGTGCGGTTCACGCTTTAGAGCTCTGTGTTTGAACACCCACCCACCCCGGAACTTTCCCTATGAAAATCTGCTCTTTAAAGCTCATTCAGAGCAAATGGCAATCCACTCAAGAGCAAAACAAAGGGGCACTCAGACACACAAGTGTGGACCTGTGCCTGGAAAAGCAGAGCAACAGGTAAGTGTGGATAAGCCCATAGCTAAAATAGTTCAACAACATATAGAGGGCACTAGATTGGCTTCCCCTGGCTTAGGAGTGTTTAACTAGTGTCCATCCAAATTTCCACTTAGCTATATATCTAACTGAGTGATCTGGGGCCAGTCACTATCTCTCAGCTTAGTCTACTTCACAGGGTTGTTGTGACAATAAAATGGGGAAATAGTTATTGTTGTTATTATGATTATATTTATTGAATTTATATATAATTTACTATATTAATCTCCTGTATTATATACAGTAGTACCTCGGGTTACAGACGCTTCAGGTTACAGACTCCGCTAACCCAGAAATAGTACCTCGGGTTAAGAACTTTGCTTCAGGATGAAAACAGAACTCGTGCTCCGGCGGCGCGGCAGCAGGAGGAGGTCCCATTAGCTAAAGTGGTGCTTCAGGTTAAGAACAGTTTCAGGTTAAGAACGGACCTCCGGAACGAATTAAGTTCTTAAGCCGAGGTACCACTGTATTAATTTACTTTATATATAAAGTAGTTTTTATACTACTGTATTTTGAGTTCTTTGGAGGTGGGGTCCAAATGTAGTAAATAAAATGTCAATTCTGTATGTAGTTCTGAACTATTTTAAAATTGCTCAAATAAGAAAACTAAACTAATCCTTCTATATAACAAATATTGATTAACACAGAATAGGTGTAGATTTTAATCTGTAAAATTCCCACTTTTTTTTTTAGTCCAGGCAAAAAAGAGTGGGAAAATCTGGAACTGATCTTAATGTTGCAGACACCAGAAAGAAAGGGAAATACATACAGGGAGCGCACAATTACCTCTTGCAATGACACTTCACTTCAAGCATGAAGAACAAAAATCAGTAACTTTTCCCCACTGGTAACAAGCACAAGAATGAAAAGTATTTAAAAACAATACAGATTGAAGAATGCCAGTTTCCCCAAAGCTGCTAACCTGCTGGGTGAAAACAATCGAGTAGGAATCATCAGCTGGAAGCCTGAATGAGATCCGGCAGGGAGAGTTGTGCTGTTAACAAGGATTCCTGATCTGTCACCTTTAACATGTCTGCTCCAGACCATGGCTGGAGATCATGGTCACTTCCACCTGACATTGTCCTCACAACACTGAAATGTTAAATATTGGATCAAAAGGGTGGGAGGGAGATCGGATGGTGTTTTCGATAAGGATGACATTTTGTAGATCCTGTACAACTTCCACAAATGGAAATTCACAATAAGCTGCCTTTAGAGGCACCCCATGAAGAGTTGAGCGCCCAGAGTTCCAGCCAGGGAGGGAGGGAGAACGATGATGTTGTGGAACCAGCTGGAAGGATGTTGGCAAAGCTTGCTTCCTTTGACTTTGCCCTGCTCAGAAACCCCACTGCAATGCAAACCAGTTTCTGAGCCTCCTGTACAGGATCACTTGTCTCCAGAACCTCTTTCTAGGGGCCAGAGCTGTAAGAGACTAAAGGTGAAGAAGAGGAACAAAACTTCAGCATCCTTGCTTTTTACCTTTGTTATCCCTGGGCTAGGAAAGTAACTGAGCTCAAGGCCTTTCTCTTTTGTAAACTGTTTTGCACTTATAATAAAGAGTAACGGAGGACTCGCTTTGCCTAGTAACTACAGGTGGTTCATCACTAGGGATGTTAGAAAATTATTTCCATTCCTGCCTCTATCCACCTGTTCTTCTGCAGCTCAGTTTCTGCCAAATACATTTGTCTTACTGTCCAATATTTTACTTAACTTACATGGATTAGCCTAACTATTCCCTGTTCACTAATTGCCATTTTACTCATGAGGAAGGCTCATGGCACATGCAATATCATAGCTAATGGAACATGCAATATCATAGCTAGAATGGTCCCATGCATGAGGTGGACTAATGGGGCATGCATTCAGTGCTGGATTTACGTATAAGCTAAAGAAGCTATAGCTTAAGTCCCCACTCTCTTGGGGCTCCCCAAAAAATGTATAGGAAAAAACCTGTACATTTCCAAA